AGTAGCCGTGGGTAACAGTGTTTTTGTGACAAACAGTCACGTCGCATTTACGACGGCGCCGCGGCACTGAACCGTCCAGTTTAGGGCAGGCTGAGTCACGGGAGGCTCGCTTGGTAGGCCGGGGGCCCTCCACTCCTCGGTTAATAGCCGCCGACTATCGGCACTCCGCTCCGGGACTACCCATGTGCACCCGCAGACGTTTATGAATATTCAATGCGCTTAGGCTCAAGTGTTAAGCGAAACCGGGTGGGTTCGTCTCGCACCAATATTGCTAATGCGAAAAGTTTCGAGAACGGATATGAACTAAATGAGAGATAGATAGGCCATAGATAGAGAGATTTTTTTAGAATAACACATATTACCATGTATGAAAAAAAGGTAAAAATTGTTTATAGTTAATTATATTTTTAATGAAAGTAACAATTAAGCAATTGAAACTTTAAAATTCTTACATGGAAATGTTTGCTGCGCCACTTGATTTTACTCACGCAGAATATAGCTTATGCCGCGTGAAAATAAATCAAAAGTTATATTTGTGCTTCAAGTTAAATAAAGATAAAGTTGTCTAAGCATTAATTTCATTATTAAAAAATATATATTTTTTAATTTTTAACGCGTTTATGTACGCAAACACACGTGTTTAAAATGCACAATCTCACAACAAAACGACGATAATACAGGGCGGCTTTTCTAATTGTATCCATTTTTTAAATTAAATTCTAGACATAAATAATGTTTTAAAAAAATGATAAATATTTAAAATCACTCTTAAGTAATTAATTACATTCATTTGAACTTATTTCAAAAAGTGCATGATTTATACGCAACTCATTTATTTTACGCGCGATCATTCATAGCTAACACGAACACAAGTTTGTGCACAGTAAAATTTAGGTATTTATGAATGACTACCGCATTGTCAACACGTTTTTTTTTTAGGGAATACATTCTATTCCCTATTCTATTTTGGAAAAAAATATGTTTTTTATTTCAATAAACTGTTATACTACCGAGTCTTAACCTCCTGTGTAAATTTGGGTACTTCTCAAAAAATCTCCCTGCATAATTAATAAAGTAACTTTTATTTAAATTAACTTTAAAAGTATTTATTGCATTTCAATTGAATACCGTTTATGAACCATAAATTTGACAGAATATTAAGGGAAGCGGTGATTGTCAAACTTCCTTTCGACAATATCGAAACGAATATTTAAATTAAATAAATAATTTAAATTATGTTTTTTCGTCAGATGGTATTAAAACCGCTGTATCGTTTGCCATGGTCGGAATTCCTAAACTCGGGCTTAAGTGTTATTATAATTTATATTTGAGCGCCGTCGCCGCGCCCCTCGACGATGTCGATGCGCTGACACGTAAATCAATGTATCAATCGACCGTTAGCCTCTAAAGAAGGACAGAGGAAATAACAATATAAAAGAATCGTTAAAAATTCCTCATAATTCGCGCCAAGACTTTTACAGGCTCAAAGACTTATTTCCGTTCAAAGAAAAAACGTGTCAATGCCGAAATAGATTTTAACATTAAACAGGTTTTATAATTAATTCATTCATAACATTTTTAATTTCGATAGCTTTTAGTGTGAATTTGGGGCTACTACACATTTCATATGAGTTCTATTTAACTTATACATGTTCCACTCGGTTGGCGGAAATAAATTTGCTTAAACTAGAAGGCAGCTTTAATATGAAACCAAAGATAACCCACATATTCGTGTCGGGTTCCCTCGCCTAAAATGTATGAATGAGCGAGCTTTAGCCAAATTTTCCAAGCGATGCACGAGTACGTCTCTCACCTGACGCGAGATTTAACGAAGCGGAATATCTGATGACCATTTTCGCACGGTCACCGTCGTGGTGGTCGTCGCATCCACCGTCCGAACGCTGTTTATCGCAAGGCCGGGGAGGGGAGGTAGAAGGCAGACCACCGCCGTCGCTTACCTTAATTTCGTAGGCGACTTATCAAGTGACCTTCATATCGAATAAACAATAAGTTGTTGAATATACAACATTTTCTACGGCTTTTTACTTTCGCCATTTAATTCTGTGTAAAAAAGCAGCCTTTAGACATAATTGTTCAATAAACAGGCATCATCCTAATTAATCACAACATAATTTCGAAGAATTCGATAACACATACTGAGCTAATAGCCAGAATAAAAATCAACACAAATTACCGTAGTCGGAATGCTAAACTATTTCACATACCATATAGCACAATTAACTTCCATCTACAATAAAACTTGTTAGCAGCAATCATTCCATGGATATATTCTAAGAAAAACTGAGTACATTGAAACAAAGTATCACATGCCAGTAATTTGTTTTTGTTCTTTTCTTTTCTTATTTGTTATAATTTTTTAATTTTGTTATTAGCAGTTTTCGTTTTTAGTTTTTTTTTTATCTTGTGTAAATTAAGGATAAAATATTGTTGCCATGATATCGTAGCATGTTGTGAACGCATGTTTTTGGCTGACAGTATGTAACTGTTTACCTTATTTAACTTTATTGTGATGTGTATACTACTGTTTCCTGTTTTGTGTACCGGAAAAAGAAAAAAAATGTATAAAGTCCTTCAATCTATTATGAATGACTATTAACTAACACTGGAGAGACAATGGGTTAAATACTTTTTTTCTTACCTAGACAAATACAAACTTTTTTAATATCCAGATATTGTGTTCAGTATCCATCAAATTATCATTAAAATCATTAATCCATCAAAAATTGGCCATAGACCACATTGTAAATGAAGTATAAATAAGAAACCAAATCTAATTTGACAACATCCTGTCCCTTTTTGTCGCTATAGGTAGGTAGTGTTGCGTGATTTAAGATATCTGCAGGCAAAGTCGCCGTTTGAAAACTAACTTGCAACGTAGCCAACTACATGACCCATAGTGAAAACTTTGTCGTCTGTGACTTTTTAAAGAAAGACACACTAGTATTTTTTTTAATAATTAAAAAATACCGTCCTAGTACTTTCTATAACTCCCCATTACGAGTTGCATTTACTCGTCGGTATTCAATGTAATTATGCCTAAATTTGGCTAAGCTTCTACACCGTCGACCATCGCTTTAAATCGGAGTAAGTTAGCTCAAAGGCCGATAGGTCGTGACGGGCTCACTCTTGAGAGTATACCCGTGGGAGATCTATTATTCAAGCGATTTGGAATAAATAAACTATGTTAGCAAAGTTATTGTTTGTCATGACGAAATGGTAACACTAAATTAAAGTATTTTATAATCCAAAATAAATATATTAATTTGTCGTAATTCAAGTATTTAAAAGAGATCTAATCTAATAATCTAATCTACTTTAATAGTGAAATTTCGACTTTAATCATCCAGATAAACTTGCTCTCATATTTTAATGTGAAATTGTTATTTTGAAATGAAGAATTGTTAAAATATCCTGTAAAACCAATAGAAGCACACTTTGATCGCTTACCGTTGCTCGTTTTAAACCATTTCTGTATAAATAAATGCAGTTTGCGCTTAGAATTCGCTACCGCGATTCGTTCGGTAGTAAATAGAATGGCTTGAAGTGCAAATAAGCTAACGAGTGGACATAGTCATTGTTTCATCGCCGCGCCCTACCAATGAGTCGTTAAACTTGACTATTGCGTGTACAATTTCACGCTACGCCAACTCTATATATATTATTATATCTATTGCTCGCGTCGCCTCGCCCAAATATGTAACGTATTGTAATGAGTTCAACGCCCTCACAGAGGCCCGATTTAACTTATCACTATTTGACCCTTTCATATTTAATGAATCGACTCGCCCATAGTTTTACACTTGCGAAAATATATAGAAAGCAAATGATGGGTGGACGTTATTACCTCCTTTTTTAGAGATAACCACACCGTACAATTTCTTGCCAGTTCTTCTCCGGTCAGGTCTTTAGTCATCCAGTGGTAGTTTTGTATTGGCGTTCAATAAGAGCTTAAATTAAGCCGATGTTTAATAAATAAATTTTGACTTTTTGACATACGTTGCGACCGTGATTGAGATAATATACAATAGTCCCTTTGCTATTCCGTTCTTGTCTATTCGCCCCTTTGGATTTGGTCCAATTTTATCAGATTCATGCAAATGTGCACCGTTTAAGCAATAAACGTCGAGACGGAAAATCTAAATTGAATGCTGGAACCATAATCAGTGACTGACGAATGTAGGAAGCGTTCTGACTTACAATTGACTTTGTCAGTAGTTTTACTCTTTATGATGCTTATTAAGGATTCAATCGCAAGAAATTAAAATTTATAACTACATCATTAAAAATAAATAGTCCAAGTGCGAGTCGGACGCGCGCTTGAAGGGTTCCGTACCATTATCTACAAGAAAAATCATGTCGGTTGTATTGCACTTTAATATTTTTTTATTCTCTTTTCTAATATTTGTTGTTATAGCGGCTATAAAATTTCATCTGTCTAACAAACACGGCTCAAGAGAGACAGCCTGGTGACAGACGGACAGATGGACAGACAAATGGACAGACAGACAGATAGACAGCGGAGTCTTAGTCATAGGGTCTCGTTTCACCTTTACCCTTTGGGTAAAACGGTAAAGGTGAAACCCCCATAAATATTTCGTGAATCATAAATATTACTGAACCCCCATAAATATTTCGAAAATATGTGAAGTCCGCCTATCCGTAGTGAGGTTTCAAATGTGTAACCCTAATACCGTCTGTAGAGAGAAGGCCTTTGGGACGTAATCATATAGGTTGTTACTGTGCCTTTTTATTTTTTAAACAATTAATCATCAAATTGATCGAATATAGGTCGATGGGTAGCACGAGTCGTAATTAATTTTTGAAACAAGCTCGTAAGTGAAAATTGAAACGTCGAATGCAACATTTATATTTAAGTGATACAGAGGAGGCCTTTACCCAGCAGTGGAGCATATATAATACTTTATTAAATCTTAGTAGTTGCGAACAAAGTCCATAGATAATGTTTGTTTAATCGCCAGGCACCACATACATAACGGGTGAGAATTTTCTGGACGTGCTGGACAATGGAGCGGAGCTTTGTCAACTGGCGGCCATCATTCACGAGAGGGCCAGAGAGGCGCTGGACCAGGGGCTCATAGTCGGGGTGAGTGTTTTCCTAAATTTTACCTCTTGGTTTAATTGTACGATGTGGTGTTAGAGGTAAAATGAAACTATTGAAGGCCCGAATAATACTGACTTATATTTTATGACAACAAGCAATATAAATGGTTACAATTAATAGAATAGCAATTATGCTATAGCGATTATATACTACTCTATATTACTCTCTACATTAGTAGAGAGTAATATAGAGTAGTATATAATCTTATCCTTATCCTTTATAATCCTTCAAACGAGCAATTCTTGTATATATATATATATATATAATCGGAATCTCGGAAACGGCTCCAGCGATTTTCATGAAATTTAGTATGTGCAGAGATTCGGGGGCGAAAAATCGATCTAGCTAGGTTTCATTTTTAGAAAATTTCCTTTTATCCCTGTTTTCAAGGAATGAAAAATATCATTCGAATATGACAGTAAATTTCGCCGCAAAAAAATGTTATAATAGCTCGGTAGGGGATCGGGCAACCCCAAAACAGACGGCTGCGGTTCGTATCATGATCATTATGACACACTTATTTTTTTTACTTTTTTTTTTGTATACCAGATCTTTTTTTTTATTTTTTTTATTTCAACTATTTTAAAAAAAAAACCGAGCAAAGCTAGGTCGTCCAGGTACTAAATGTTTAAACATACATCACATAATAGTGAAAACTGGAAATTCGGTATCGATTTTAACTTGAATCAAAACGTGGCCAGTGATAAATTTCTCAGAGAACAGTGCTAAACTAAATAGCTCACAATCGAGTTGATACAACAATCAGCATCGACTTAAATCGCAAAACATTTCATTATTAGGTGGCAACACATCTGCAAGTTGCAAATTTTCATGTGCGGCGATTATCACTTAATATCTGATGAATCGCTAGCTCGCTTGCCACCTTCTCACATACAAAAAAACGATTTTAACGTCAGCTACAATTATCACATCAAAAGGAGACATTAGAACCAAATATAGAATACAATGTAATCGAAATTGAGACAGCGGAGCGCGTTGTTTAGAAACGTTCCAGAATTCCAGGCCGCAATTAGCTGTCCGATAGTCGATTTGTTTCACTGCCCGTCACCGTAAATAGCGTCCCCGCGTCTGCACCTGGAGACCGGCCAGTATTCCATGCATGTCCTGCCGTTTCGTTCACTCCGTTTATGTCCCTTCGTTTACTTTCTATCCCCACGTTGCTCGCAGACTAATGCCTTTGCGTTTTATCCACAAGTATGAACCCTTGTGGCTAAATGGGCTCACTGGATGTGACGAAAACCAATGTTTACATTAAGAGCCATTCATTCGTATGATTGAATCAGTCGTGTTATGATATATGATGCAACATATTATATATCATTGTACTTTGGTCGGCAAAACATTCATGCATGTATGTTTACTTACGAATTACAAGATCCAAGTTTTTCGACCCAACTTATTTACTATTATAAGCCTTGAAAGTTAAGAAGCGAGTTGTAAAGCTGATTAACAGTTTTGAAGTGTTAATGACGTAAAAGAAGCTTATATAGTTCACGTGCAATGAGGCTTGTCACCTCTCGCGTTCATGAACAATTCGATTATGAGTTCTTAAGGACAGCATGCCGTACTATAACGGTTGTTTCGGAAAGCAACAGCAACAACAACAACAGCAACAATTAAAGGGCCCCACGCGCCGACTTTTTTCACTTTCAATCAAATATGCATATTGTGTACGCGTATAGTTTCTAACATATTAATTTTCTTGTGTGTGTGTATTGTAAGAGTTTTATTTAACTGTGGTATGCATCGGTCTTCTCTGTTTCACAAATGGGCAGGTCCGTCCGGGTGAGTATCACGACTTCACACAAGGCGTAAAGTAGAAGTGTGATACTTCTGCGTTTCGTCCGGTGAGCGAGGTAGCTCGATCCCACTTTATTAAAAAAAGGCAACGCATCTGCAACCCTACGGGTGTTGCAAATGTCAATGGGCGACGGTTATCACTTAACATCAGGTGTACCGCCAGCTCGTTTGCCACCTCCTCACATAAAACAAACGCGTGTGTGCAGCCGGTGCCGCAGCTGCGTGGCCGCTGCTGGCAGCGCGCCGCCCGCCGCAGTTTCTTCTCCCGGGACAACACCGACAACTTCCTCACCTTCTGTCGGGAGCTAGGCGTGCACGAGAACCTTCTCTTCGAGAGCGATGACCTCGGTAATGTCTATTTATCATTTATTTATTAAAAACTTTTTTTGCATGCTGGTACAAACGGCGTATGGCAATGCCATAGGCCTCGGTAATGCCATATGTCTTAATGCCATATGGCATTTTCTACCAGCCAACCGGGAAGTTAAAGAGAAAGAAGTGTATAATGGGGTCAAATCCGCCATTGAACGCTATTGTGCAAAACATTTTTAAATAAATAAATAATAATTTTTTTTTAATAAATAACTTTATACTTGCTTCGTATTTTCGAGTCAAGACATGTTGTTATAAATGTTTGTAACATCTCTATACCATGTATAATGCAAATAAACATTATTATGGGCCAACCGGACGGCGGCCTTCGTCGGAGAAGAGCAAACGGCCGAGGGTTAGGGCCAGGAGTTATTATTACTATTAATAAACAATGAGACGGTCGATGCGCGCGCAGTGCTGCACAACCAGCCGCGGCAGGTGGTCCTGTGCCTGCTGGAGGTGGCCCGGCTGGCCACCAGGTACCGCGTGGAGCCTCCGGGGCTGGTGCAGCTGGAGAAGGAGATCGCGCTGGAGGAGCGCGACTCGGGCCTCGACTCCGCCATGTCCGGGGCCGCCTGGCAGTTCCGGGACCTCACGCCGCCGCCGGACGACAAGTGAGTAGCGCCGCGGCTTGCGATGTAAGGTCACGCATTCTAATCCAACGCGCCCGCGGGGGTGACTTAGTAGTTATCACCGCCTACTTTCTAATATGCGATTCTACTAGTGCTTTTTTATGTGAATCTAGCGACCCGCCCAGGCTTCGCGCGGGTGAAATGTATTAAATCAGTCGAAGTCGCGCCGTGGTGTGGAACAGCTGTGCGCTAATTAAAAAATTCGCTCACATATTACATACTAACTCAAAATAGTACAAGGAATTTTGAACATTTTTCTCAAACGTATAAAGTCGTAATTGTAATAACGGCCTTTATAACTATTGAAATGCATATTGCCCTACTATATCAGTGCTTCCCAAACTGTGCAATCTAATTGTCATGCCGATCTGCAGTAAGTGTAAAGATCATGTTGCCGATGGTGCGGACTGCAGTCTTTGTAAGAGTTTTCTACATTTCCACTGCGCAGGTATCAGCGAATCTGGATACCGTAAATTAGGTGATCGAAAAATGACATGGCGTTGCCCAAAGTGTAAACAAGGACATGCCAAATCCCCATCACAATCCCCAGTCGTTAAGCTTTTGGGAACAATTGACACCGAGCATCAGGAGATAACTACGGCGCAGTTAATGAAAGAAATCAAGGATATTGCAACAAAGCTTAATCCTTTGGATTCAATTGTCGCTGATATTAAACACCTGAAGGACAGTCTCGCGCAACTCCAGAAAACTAATATCCAAACTAACAACGTCTTACAAGAACTCTCTAAGAAGGTAGTGCACATCGAATCGCGAATTTCCCAAATTGAGCGGGAGAAAGAGAATATTGTTTGTCTACAACAAAAGGTTGATAAAATTGAAGAGCAAATGCAAATAAAGGACCAATGGGCGCGTCTAAACAATGCTGAAATTAAAGGAGTGCCCATGAAAAAAGGCGAAAACCTCATGGACATTGTTTTTGCTGTAGGTTCTAAGGTTGATTTTGCAATATCAAAAAGTCAAGTAAATTATGTCACCAGGGTGCCAAATCGTGATCCTAACAGCACCAAACCGATAATTGTATGTTTCAACAACCGCTTTGTTAAGGAAGACTTTGTAACGGCTGCCAGAAAAAAATGCTCTACGCTCACCGCTACTGCTATTGGAATGCAGGGCAACAACAGGATTTTTGTAAATGATCACCTCACTGCTTTCAATAAAACACTGCTTAATAAGACAAAAACCATAGCTCAAGAAAAAAACTTTCAGTTTGTATGGGTGAAGAATTCAAAAATCCTAGCACGGAGGGATGCAACTTCTCCGATAGTGTATGTGAAGACAGAAAAGGATCTTCAAAAAATAATTTAAGTAATAGTCAAGTTTTAATTAACGTTTTTAAATTTAGGTTAAAAAATTTCAATAAAATTAATAAAGCTCAAAAATGTTTTGAAACCACTGGATGGGTGCGAGTGAGTCATGTTATAATGCTTGTGTATTTCGTTCACTGTTCGTGCGAGCTCAAACTAAGAACGGGTAAACAGGTAATTCGCATCACTATTTTCGCCCATATGACTATTAAGGTATCGTTGATATTTCATTACAGTGTCTGCTTTGTGTTTGCTATAATTGCATTTGTGCTACGTATAAACAATATTTTTGCTTTTATGTCGCTTGTTGGTACACACGCTTATTTCGCTTACGCTAGTGTTACAAAAATAAACTTGCAAGTAAAAATTTATAAACACTTGATTTTGATTACACAACAAAATTATATACATACAGAATTATATTCATATTATATACATTATATTAATTGCATAATCACGTATAAAACAACTATAAAATGGACTACTATGACTTATAATATTTATTTTAATTATATTTATCTCTTCCTTAGTAATTCCTATTACAATATGGCTACTATAGACATCGATTTAAGCGCTGCTTATTTATCTTATAACTTTTGTGACATGATTGCCACAAATACGATGTGCTTTTATTCTGTTATACCGTCCCGATTTGCTACACATTATGCTTTAGATACCTACATACTTGATATTGCATTGGTTGTTTACTAATAATATCTTTAAACGTATATTATCAGAACGTGAGAGGCCTTAGGTCAAAAACGAATGAATTTTATAGAAATGTGCGCTTAAATAATTACGACATTATATGCCTGACTGAAACCTGGCTGCTTGATGCCATCTCCAGTTCTGAACTGCTTGATGACAGATATATTGCTTGGAGACGAGATCGTAACTATATGCTAACTGGGCAGAAAATTGAAAATTGGGTGGCGGGGTCCTAATAGCAGTGAAAAAAGGATCTTATCTCCATTGACAAACCCGATTGGCAATCTTCCGCTGAAGATATTTGGGTGAGCACTATTATTGATCAATATCGTATACATATATGTACCATCTATTTGTGCAAAGAAAAAAATAGAGGTAACTCGTTTGATTTACAAGTGCGTAATTTTTGTGATAAACTTATGGATATTATGTTATCTCATCCAAACGATAAATTTTTGATAGTTGGTGATTTCAACTTACCAAATATTAAATGGGAAATAATATCGGATAGCTCTGAATTATCACCAACCAATTACTCGAGTGACCTTTATAATTTCTTTATTGACACACTTCTTTGTTTAGGACTGGGTCAGTATAATGGTGTTTGCAATTCCAATAACGTAATTTTAGATCTTGTATTAAGCAATTCTGAGACCTACCCACTGGCTTGCGACCCGCTAATCCCAGAGGATGCTCATCATAAAGCCTTATCCATTATCATGAAATCAATTAAGGTCAGTAAACTCCCGGTCCTTAATCAAACTAAATATAATTATTCCAAAGGTAAGTATGATAAAATACGGTCCGAATTAAAAGTTTTTGATTGGAGCTCTATACTTAGTAAGGGCAATTTAGATAATGCTACAGAATCTTTTTATAGTAAGTTATATGCAGCTAAGAGATTTATATATACCTAAAAAAAAGGTTGATTCCTCTCGTTACCCACCTTGGTATAGTCAGTCATTGATAAAAATATTACGCAGTAAATACAAATACCATCAAAAGTTTAAAATTTATGGCAATCTGAGTGACTACGAAACTTTTGCGTTCTTACGTATGAGGGCTAAGGTGGTTGAAAGCGAATGTTATAAAAAATATATCTTTAGCACGGAAAAATATATAGCTAGTAACCCAAAATCATTCTGGACTTATGTGAAAGCGAACAAAGCTGTTCAATCATTTCCTGGCAACATGAAACTTAATAATGAAACAGCTGAGAATGGTCAACAAATTAGTGATTTATTCGCAAAATACTTTCATTCAACTTTCTCTTCACCAAAAAATGATTCTCAATTTATTCCTCCCGCCATCAGTGATGTGAACATCCCCCATTCGGTTAATATTCATACCATATACCTCAATAAAGACGAAATTTGTCGGTTACTTAAATTATTAGATCTTAATAAATCAGGTGGGCCTGATCTTATACCTCCTCACTTCATAGTTAGTTGCGCTGCCGAACTTTCAGAGCCTCTTTTCGTCTTATATCGCCGCTCAGTATCCGAAGGCATTGTGCCGAAAATTTGGAAACAGGCATACATCACACCTGTACATAAAAAAGGGGACACTACAAAAATAGATAATTATAGACCTATCTCAAAACTATGTCTGTTTGCTAAAGTATTGGAAAAAAATAATACATAAACAGGTTTACAGCTCTATTTCCCCCATATTAAGTGATGCTCAGCATGGATTCCTAAAAAACAAGTCGACTGTTACAAACTTACTACTTTCGAACAAGTATATAACTGAGGGTATGGACAATGGGTTCCAAGTAGATTGTATTTATACGGATTACAGTAAATGCTTTGACCGAATAGATCATCAAATACTTTTGAACAAATTGGCAATAGCAGGAATACATGGAGATCTACTACGTTGGTTCGCCTCATATATTGACAACAGGTCACAAGCAGTTGTACTGAATGGACACATGTCGACATGGTTACCTATTTCCTCAGGAGTTCCTCAAGGATCCATGTTGGGGCCTCTGCTCTTTACCATTTTTGTGAACGACATAGAGAAGTGTTTTATGCACTCTAAAGTACTCCTGTACGCTGATGATATGAAAGTACTTAAAGTCATCACTAGTAAGGAGGACACATTACTGCTTCAATCAGATCTACAAAGACTTGTAATGTATTGTAACAAAAACAAACTAGATCTGAATATCACTAAATGCTTCTTTATGTCGTTTACAAGGAAAAGCAATATTATTGACGGAGGATATAACTTAATGGGAACATCTATTGCTAGAGTATATGAGGCGCGCGATCTGGGAGTAATTCACGATTCAAAACTCATCTTTGACAAGCACATACCTTATATTACATCCAGAGCATACAAAGCTATGGGTTTCATCATTCGCTGTTCTTCTGTGTTCAGTAATCTCAAAACAATAAAGATTCTTTACTGCTCATTTGTACGACCTATACTCGAATATGCCTCGCAGGTCTGGAATCCACAATATGAGATTTACAAGTCTCGTATTGAGGGTATCCAGAAAAGATTTTTAAGATACCTTGATTACCGAGCGCATAATAACTCACGTGACTACAATGATAGGTGCCATAGGTACCATTTTCTTCCTTTGTCCGTTCGGCGAGATATTAGTGACGTATGTTTTTACCTGAAACTCTGTAACGGTTCAATTAAGTCTCACGAACTATTATCAGACATCACTATAAATGTACCTATAGCAAACACGAGGAACCGTAGACTTCTTTACATACCCAGAGCTCATACGAATTACAGGTGCAATTATTTTATGATTAGGACTGCTAAATTTATTAATGCACGAAATATCGACCCATTCTTTACTTCTCCAACTGTGGCTAAAAAAAACTTTAACAGAGCAATATTTTTCCTAAAGATGGTTAACTAATTACTAAGAATTGAATTTGATTTATGTATTAAGTTTTTTTTTTTCCTTTTTTATTTATTCATTTTTATCATCTTTTTTTTCTTTCATCACTTGCTCGACTTTTTTTTTTTTTTTTTTTTTTTTTTTTTTTTTAAAACATAATTATGTACTAAAGGTGGAAACTTGTAACTGGCTCTTTATATATGTTACAATATTGTTTTAAAATAAGTACCTAATTTGCTGTAAGTTTTCCTAATAAAATAAAATAAAAATAAAAAAATAAACCTTCCTCGTGAATCTCTCTATCTAGTAAAAAAAAAACGCATCAAGTTCCGTTGCGTAGTTTTAAAGATCTAAGCATACATATGGACAGACAGACAGCAGGACGACTTGCTGTTTTATACTTTGTAGTGAAGTTGCCGAGCGAGCAGGCGGTTGACCTGATGTTAAGTGAATACCGCCGCCCATGGACATCTGCCACACTCGAGGGTTACAGATGCGTTGACAACCTTTTGAAAATTGGGCTCCGGCCACCTCACTCACCAGACGAAACGCGAAAGTATTTGTCATACTTCCACTTTACGCCGGTCTTCTGTGAGGTCGTGGTACTTACCCGGACGGGCCTGCCCATTCGTGCAACAGCCGAGGCTGTTGCGTGGCCCTACCACCGACATCCAACAAGGTTGCGTTAAACGTTCAACGCTCCTGGGGACGGGGGAATAGAAAGAGACAGAGCGAGAGTGAATGCGTGGCACTCGAAGTTTCACTTCTTCCGCGGGGAGGGACTCCACGCACTATTTCTTTTTTTTTAAATGTGAGAAGGTGGCAAGCGGTTCACCTAATAGTAAGAGACATCCACTATGGCCATTTGCAACACCCGTAAGGTTGCAGATGCGTTGCCACATATCAATAAAGTGGGCCCCGGCCACCGCCACGTCTTTGTGATCTAAAGTCATACATTCTAGCCCAACGCACCCTCGGATGAGATTTCATTTACTCCACACCGCCTATGCATATTTCGGAATTAATGAGTTTGCTGATACGTGATAGTACGCCTACTCTCTAATATACTGTTCAACTAGTGTCACCAGCACTTCTAGATTAGTTAAATACTATTTGATGTTAGCACGAGAGTTTACCAAGAGATTTCTGTAGGTGCGAGCGCGTTCCTTATATCTCAATTCAGGCTTCATTGATTTAACAAGTAATGGATATGAAGCGTTGGTGGCAAAACGTTGCATATTACGAATTCAGGTAGATTCGTACAAGCTGTTATTTTAATTCAGATCTGTTTATTTCTATCTCCTTCCTCAACTCTAATTTTTATATGTCAACTTTCACGCTGCGTAGAGAGGAAACAAGTATCAGTGACGCCCTCAAATCTCAAACACAAGAAAAGTAAGTTTCTGAGATTTCTCATAACGTATTCATGTTTGTCTCAACGTTTTCCAGAGAATTTTATAACAATACGTGTCTTGTTTGGAATTATGCGATTTTGTGTTAGTTCACTACTTTATTTATATTAATATTGTAGTAGTGAAATAAGAAAAAAAATTAAAACTAAATGTAATTTTTCTTTCAGATCCGTCACAGAGGTGTTAACATCACCTGAGCCCAACGATTGTGAGTACTAATGATCTTCTAAAGTAAAAACATATAAATTCCTAATAATTTATTTCATAATCGCGCCAAATGCAAATCATTTCATAATTTTCCTGTCTTCCCATACTGTTGTTCTCCGAATAGAAAATGACCGTTTCCTTTAAAGCCCAACTCTTGGCCGACAACACCGACGCGGAGAGTACCAAGTCGGAAGGAACCGTCGACAGCACAGACTCCGATGTTCCCCTTAAGCCCACCAACGAGCTGGACAAGCGGGTAAGTCACCCGGAGGAAGTAAACGGAGGGTTTTCGTAGATTTCTATGTCATTATTGCACTCAAAGCACTCACCCACCTCTGTTCGTCCACCCTTGCTATGTAAATGTCAAGCGAAAAATGTTCGGAAGTAGTGTAGCTGACACTCTACTATGAAATACGCGTATGTCCAAAAATTAGGATTACAATCCGTGTGTACATCATTGGCAGTGCTACGAAGGAATTTAGCACATAAGATGAACTTCTCTTTGCTGTGGCCGCTACCTAGCGAATAAAAGTCGGGTTCTTATATTATTAGGTTCTTATTAAATTAATATAAGTTTATGATTCTTATATTAGTTTATGACAACTTAGAAACAAAATAACTGTCGCATGCCCGGCGTTTAGCGAAAGGATTGCCAACTCACGATATGAAGAAAGACAAGCCGAGACTGAACTGAAGATCCGCACTTTCTTATACTAGGTGGAGGTCGTAACCCGACACTTTTCGGAACACGCAACAGTTTCGGCTGTTGCACGAATGGGCAGGTCCGTCCGGGTAAGTACCACGATTTCACAGAAGACCGGCGCGAATTGGAGGGACCCATTTTATTAAAACAACGCATCTGCAATCCTACAGTCTTGCAAATGTCCATGGAAGGCGGTTATTACTTAACATCGAGTAAACCGCAAGTTCGCTTTCCGCCTTCGCACATGAAAATAAAACGTCATCTGTGAAAGTTTCAATTGTCTAACTAATACGGTTCATGAGATACAGTCTGGTTTCATGAGGACAGACGGACAGACAGCAGACAGGGAAGTCTTAGAACCCCTAAAAGGACTGTAGTGGCCTTTTGACGGCCGATATGTCGATCTGGATACGTGATCGAGCCCTGTGAGGAGTGTAGTGGCCTATTGACGGCGAGGGTTGGCGGCGCAGGTGCAGCTGATGGGGCGTCTGATGGCTCGTGGCTGCAGCTGCGGAACGGACCGCTGCTCCCGGCTGCTGAAGGTGCGCAAAGTGGGCGAGGGGAGGTACAACATCGCCGGTCGCAACGTCTTTATCCGGGTACGGCCTTTGCTCCATTCTCTTCTCTGGTTGCACGGTTCATGTGGCACGCGTCACCCACTGTTGATACTTCTGCAGTTTCTCATTTACATATTCGAATGTCCATCTGCAGATATGTATATAGTCTGATATAATTATCATAAAATGTATTTCACTGTGTATTTTTACACATCCTTATTTAGTCCCAATGCAAAGCTCGTACTTAAGGTACCTATTAAGTAACATACCAAAACATAAATGTCTGTTTCATCTCACAATATTTTTACGCAAAGCTTATCGGTTCTATTAAAGAATTTAAGTCAATAAAGAAACAAAGTAAAAAAGCTCACGTGCAAGCGTTTAAGAGCTAACCGTTCTAAAGCGCGATGTGTCCTCGGGCAGCTGCTGAAGGAGCGGCACATGATGGTGCGCGTGGGCGGCGGCTGGGACACGCTGGAGCACTTCCTCTCGCGCCACGAGCCCTGCCAGGTGCGCCTCGTGGCGCCCGCGCGCCGCGACCTGCTGCCCGCCGCCGCCACCGCCGCCACCGCTGCCACCGCTGCCACCGCCGCTGCCGCTGCCACTGCCACCGCCACCTCTACCACCGCCCCCGCGCCCCCGTCCCCGCACCCCGTAGAGCCCGCCGGCGCGCTCTCGCCCATCCCGCGCAAGGCGTCCGTCTCGCCCGCGAGCAGCCGCAGCTCCGTGGCGAGCAAGGGGCGCTCCTCCGGCGGCGCCTCCCCCGTGGACGGCAAATCGTCCCCCGCGGACAAGCGCGCCCCCAAAGGCGGCGCCTCCACGCCCAAGGCGCGCCCCGCGGCCCCGCTCTCGCTGCGCCTGAGGGCGGACCCGCCCGCCCGGAAGCAGTCGGCCCCCTGCAGCCTCAGCACGCCCAGCACGCCCACCTGCAGGCCCGACGGCCCCCCGCCGGGGCTGCGCAAGTCGCTCACCTCGAGCACGCCGCTCGACGCGCCGAAGAAGTCGCGCAGCATGAGTCTGGGCGTGGCGGTGAAGGAGAAGCTCGGCCCGACGGTCAGAGCGCCGCCCTTGAAGGCGCGCAGTCAGAGCCTGGCTTCGACCCCCGTCGGGCCGAAGCGGCCCCCGGGCGGGGCCGCCAAAGCGCGCAGCTTGAGCCTCGCCGCCGCCCCGGACTTCGGCAAGCCGCTGGTGAAGAGCGTCTCCCTGTCCACGAACGGGCCCATGACGCAGGCGTCCATCGAGGAGAGCATCCGCCGCTCGCTGGCCGCCTCCATAGTGGACTCCGCCTGTCCCAAGAAGCCCTTCCTGCACATCAAGGCCAAGTACCGCAGCCCGCCGCCGCGCGAGGTGCCGCCCAGATAACCGCCCCGCCCGCTCCCTTACGGCCGCTTTCTATATCCTAATCCTATCTACAGATAGATTCGGTTACTAGCAGTAACCAAATCTATCTGTAGACAGAGTATTGAAACCGGCCGTCACTAGTTAGTTTTATGCTCTGACGCGGGGACGGCGGCAGAGGACGCGTTCGCCGCTATCGACACTTTTAGGCATTAGTTAGATCTCCTAAGCAATCTCATTCTTTTAACCATGTAAGTAGCTGTAAGTCGGAGGACCGCGTTTATTCACTCTAAGCAGCCTAGTCATAATGAGTTTGTTTTTATTATTAGTATTGTATTGATCACTGTAATATCGTAGTTAAATAATCACTATATAATGTCAATAGTAATTCCGATTTTATTTATAATTATTTTCATGAATACCAATGTCATTATTGTTCGAATATTTCAAATAAGTATCGTTTTAAGTTTTGTTTAAGTAATTGAAGCGCCACAAACTTTACGCGCTCTTTCGGATATTGTAATTAAATATTTTGAGTTTTATTTCGTTTGTTTTTTTTTTGCTTTATTTTTTAGAACAGTCGCAATCACACCCTAGACCTTACAAGCAATATATTTCACGTCGCTTGTATTTACATGTACTTTCATATTTTGGGATTAATAGATATCATTTCATAGAGTACTACTAGTATGCTTTTAAGTATCAGATGGGTATAACCATTTTTATAACAAGAGACCTTAAACACGTCAAACGAAATGGTTATTGATCATTAGAACAATATAAACTGTTAGACCTGAGCAAAATAATATATAGAAATATATTTTAATAATATCACAAACAATCGCAAGGGTACAAAAATGTTTTAAATACATATGACATGTATATTTTCATAAGCCGGAGAAAATATTTTTGCACTGATGTTAGATACAAAAAAGCACTAAATAAACGAAATCATCAGCCAGCTATGACAGCCATTCAAATGTATTATAAGAACACGTCGACTAAACTAAACTTATAAAAATAATGATTAGTGTTTAATAAAGTTAAAGATAAGATTTAACGAAAGAAGTTCAAAGTCAAGTCAAAGTATATTTATTCAATATAGGCCTAACTTAAGTTCTTATTGAACGTCAACAAAAAATCTACCACCGGTTCACTAAACTAGACCTGCACAGAGAAGAACCGGCAAGGAACTCTGCGGTCTTGTTCTTTTTGTTATTTTTTTTTTGATGCAATTATACACACTTATTTAGGTATAAAATCAGCAGCAGCCAGGGGTCTTGCAAGTGCAAAGCAAGAGTCATTTCCAAACATCCTTGTCCTCAATGTATTCTTGGATATTATAGTACGCCCTTGCCATTAAGGTAGCTTTTACAAATTGTTTATACTTAGTTGTTTGTGGCCTATTTTATTATAAAAGTTGATGCATCTTCCAAGAAACGACTTTCTGGTTTTAGCCAATCTAGTTGATAGATATGCTAAGTTATAATGTAGGAGTGAGCAAAATTATAGCAGGGATTTTAACGTAGTTCTTAACTTTTTACATCTTTGGAACGTCAATTTAATAACTTTTTACTCTATGAAATATTATAAAAATAAGTTACACCGATCTATTCCCACTAAAACGCCCTCAAGCAAGCTTTGCAGAGAAAGTATAATCATAGTTTCATTGTTTAATTTATGCTTCACAATGTTTAAACCAAATAAAATGCACTTAAGAATATCAAACAAAATTGTGCCAACAGTTTACAAATTCTATTTAAAATGGTAATAAACTTTTATATTCAACGTGTTTAATCTTTTACTGCCCCGAGCCCAACCTTCCTGTTCGTATCCTAATAATTATGTTGTAGTAGTGACTATGCCACTAAATAACACAATTGATAACCATTATAAGCACAGATTAAACATTCATACACCGCACATAATACAAATAAACTTTAGTAGAAAATACACCGAACATAGTCAGTGTTAAAAAGGTTGTGCTCGAGTTTCCTTTGATGAGCTTAAAATTGTATTTATTTGCACGTATGAATAACATATTCAATTTGGGTATAGAGCAAATAAGTAAATAAACGACGAAGATTATTATATCCTTCAGTCTTTTTCCGACTTAAAGTTCGGCAAATCTTTGATTTTACTAAATGCACGCACGTGTGTTAATGAGAAATTCCTCCGTTCCATTGTGAATAAATAATTGAACGTTTATACAATGCATCTAAACTATTTTATTTTATGTAAGAAATAAATATGTGATATTGTAGAGTAAGTCATAGGTCCTTTATTCTACAATATCTAGTCTTATAATATAATAAGATCATAGTACTGTAGTAAGTACATAGCCGTCGTTACTTCAGAGAAACTGTCAGCTTAGAAACTGTTTGTTGTAAGGAGGTAAGCTAATTACTGACATATCTTTATGCATATAATTTGAACTTTATATATATAATTCTTCTGTACGTGTGTCTATGTATATGACTCCTGCTAAACGGCGGGACCGATTTCAATAAAAAAATTTGTGAGTCTTCAGGACGATTCGGGAATGGCTTAGGTTCACAATTCGTTCCACTATAATTTTTATATTGTGGGATTCTTACCCACTAAAACCCCTTCGGTGGCCACCCTCTGTACATTTCAAGGGACTCCGGGATCTCCCATGGAACGCACCGGTGTCCCTCGGTACTATGCTTGAGCACGCCTCGGAGAAAAATAAACCTTCTCCGATTCCCTCACACTCTTGCAGCACGAGACCACTTAGTGCTGCTGCCCATTTGTGTCCCCTTTTACGACAGGCAGGGGATACATCAGCCGTATTCTGTGAGCCCGGGACTACAAGGCTGTTGTCGGGTCCGCTAGACAATCACAAATTATTGAAACAAGTCGAAAACGACATTATTAATTTTAGAATTTTCACCAGTGTTATCTATTGTATTACTTTAATACCAATTTTTAATTTTAACATCACACCGAGGTAAGTTTTGTTTTAACTGTGTAACAATTATTTTATTTACGTCTCTGGTGGGTGGGTAAAGCATCTGAAATCCTACGGCTGTTGCAAAAGTGAATGGCTGGCGATTATCACTTAATATCGGGTTAACCGCTCATTTGCCACCTCGCATAAAAAGAAACGTCATTTTACTGTAAGATAAATTGTCAACCGACTAGACAAGAGCATACAAAATTTCCACACTTTGATGTTAATTGTTATCAAAATTACAGCCGCTGTGAGTGTAAAAAGACTCGCACACGAATGCCGTGGCGGTATTATAAAAATAACTTGTGAGGCGTCGTGTTATCTAGACCTGTTTTACGGTGGTAGGGCCACGCAGCAGCCTCGGCTGTTGCACGAATGGGCAGGCCCGTCCGGGTAAGTACCACGACCTCACAGAAGACCGGCGTAAAGTGGAAGTATGACAAATACTTTCGCGTTTCGTCTGGTGAGTGTCAACGCATCTGTAACCCTCGGGTGTGGCAATGTCCATGGGCGGCGGTATTCACTTAACATCAGGTGAACCGTCTGCTAGTTTGGCAACTTTTCACATAAAAAAAAACGTGTATACAATTTTAGAGTTCAAGATGCGACTAATCTAGTTTTCTCTTAGTGTCGGCAGCCAGTGCGGCAGCATGCTGTGCCAGTGCCAGAGTTGGTCTCCGTGACGCCGCACAAACGCCGCTACACCTACTACAACAAGATGTTCAAACCGATATCCTACTCGTTGCCGCAGCCGCTCAAAGTTTCTCTAGTATAGATGTTTTTACCAAATTGCAGCGGGCTTTGATTCTTCTTCACATATCCCTTTTATTATATGCAGTTTTCTAGCTTAAGATTTTCGTTATATTACGTTTAATAAAACAATACTCTTGATGTAAAAAAAGTAATTTGAAAGACCATATGTGCCTTTGTTTAAGATTTGATTTTCCCGTATGCGATACAGCTACAGCGAACACAGCTAACGTTTATAATGTTTCACCCTAACCTTTGACAGACAAAATGCATTTAACAAATCGAGTCTGAACAAATCCGTTGCACATCACTGAGATTTGAACCCATCAACTTAAATTGCAAGTATTCACTAAGTTATCAAAGACAAAAATAAAATATTTACTTGCAGAATTTTCACCAAAGAATTATCACAAGCAACATTAAGTACAAATATTAATAATTAATGCACTATTGCACCAAACTACTAACGGAACCGTTTTTAACCTGGAACTTATTTAAAAGGACAATTGCAAAACATCACAAATATCTCATCTGTGTTCAGATTTGTTTCAGTCAATTAATTAAAGAAAAACCTCAATAGTTACAAGTTTTATTAAAATACTTTCGATAATCTAATACAAGGTATAGTACTAACTATAAACAATACAAACATGAAATAAGGAATGGATAGTTAAATGCAGATGAACCTATGTTCTTAATATTGTTTAGTATAGAAAACAAACATCAAAACTAATTTAAAAAAAAAAAAAGATTGTTAATCAACTAATACATGTCATATAATTTAATAAATAGTATCTAATAGTTTGGCATTTTCAATCATTAAAAATCACGTAAAAGTTCCGTTTGCGTCAAATGCAAATATCCGTATGCGATACATCTTGAACTATAGGATTCAGTAGAATTATTGAATATATTTGACAATAAACTGTACTAGAAAACTGTCTTTTAATTTTTTTAAATAAGTCTGATATCACACACTGCTGAAATAGGACATGTGATATTGTAGCACTTTGAGAGCATGGGCAAGATATTTTATAAACAAAAATGATTGTATTTATTGTTATTTACGGAAAGATATAAAATATCTGTACGTAAATAGCAATTTGTACTTACATTTATAATAAAAATGTTTGGGCAGAGCATAATATATTGTTTTTCAAAATATTGTGATTATTTCATATAATAAGTATCAATTGTAGAGAATCTAATAGATCTTGCATCGTAAATTGTGTTTTATAAGAGTTAATTCAGTGTCAATTATACATAAAAAATTACTATTATACAATCATTTCTCTTAGGAAGTAGCCCTTATCATTGATAATTACTCTTAAGCCTAGCATAAATTATAATTTTGGTATAAAATAAAGTACATGTTGTTCAAAGCTTACAACTATTCTAAATAAGCAATAATATGAGATTTTATAGAGATGATATCCTGATACAGTTATCAATTACATTTGACATAAAAAGTTCATATTTCAAAATAAATGTTCAACACAGTTGATGTGTTTTGTGTACATATATAAATGTGGCAATTTTTCATATCACTCTTTCAACCAAACAAACACATTTTTTATAAACATTTTCAAGTATAACATTTTTGTTAATTGTAGAATTTCATATGTAAGAATTTCATAAACTTCTACTTTTTAACTAGTTCTTAAATCCACGCATGTGCTATGAAGCAAGTTTAAATAAAAATGGCAATGTGTTTATTGTTCCTTGGACATGCTTTGAGTTGAAAGGCCATTAATGATTGCCTTATTTCTTCTTGCTTTTGCCGAGTGTCAGGGTGTGGTGGGACTGGGTCGTTTGCTGCTTGCGGCGATTGAACTCTATGGTGTCGTCTTCTATTTTCTTGCGCAATTCTTCTAAACGTTTCTTCTCTTCAGTGTGGTCCTTTTTCAGCTTATCGAATTTAGCATGAAGCTGGAATTGAGACAATCTTAAGTAAAGTCATTTATTTTAAAAATACCATAAATATTAGAACTTTATTGACTACTGAAAGATGTGCTTGTAATTTGTAGGTAAAAATGTTAACTCAAAATATATTATAATAATAGGCTACTTGACTCATATCAAATTTGACCCTCTAAATGAGTATTTCATGCAGTATTAGATATACAAAGCCGAAATATATTGATTTCGGTTAATAAAAGTGCAAGATGACTGCACAATAACCATTCAAAAATTGCTACTATTATTTTTTGTACTAAACGCTGAATACGCTTGCGGCCATTATGTGACGTCACATAACTTGTAAACAAATCGTTGTCAACGATAGCAGTGTTACCAACTGTTAAAAAAAAATACTCCTTAAATAACTATTTCATTAAAATCATTAAGAAAACTAAATACAATATTTCATTTTTTTATAATACTTTAGAGATAAATATTTTAACATTAACTCAATAAAATATTTTAAAAAATGTAATGGTTCTTAGCATAGAAGGTGGTTAAAGGTAAACACGAAGACTCTTAAGGCCCATTTACACGGTGCAAGTTTCTTGCCTGTTGTATACAATTAAATTGAAGCAATAAATGAGTTGCATGGTCTAAACAGCACATAACATTCTTGACCGTTGAACAAAACTTGCTTCAAGTTTTGTTTCAAAACTTTCCTTGGTGTAAACAGCACACACAATAATTTCTTAAGCATTCTTGTATTCAATTGCATTCTCTCTTCCTTTGCAAAAATTTGTGCAATGAGTGAGGGTATTTAATCGTGGCTGTTCTTTTGAGGAAAGAAATATTGAGAAAAGGTCGTAAAAAAAGTTGGATAAAAAAATTAATAATAATATATGGATAATAATAAATAAATCTCAACGAAATATATTTAATCGGCATAATCTAACTTGAACACTGATTATTGAGCCATTTTTTTTAAAAAAAACAGCCCTTTGTAAAACGTTCAACACTTGCATGAAAAATTTGTCAACGCAAATACGTGCAATACTTGAAGCAACACGCCAATAAATTGTACACGCACATACAAGCATGTGTTTAGACAAGTCAAAACTTGAAAGCAATAATCGCCTAAACATAATTGCATTGGTGTAAACAAAAGACCTTTGCAATTATTTCCTGTCAAGACTTGCATACAATAATCGCATTCAATTTTTTTTACTATATCTGCGTGTAAACTGTTGCTTACAATTCTTGATGGTCAATTATTGCGTGCAACTTATTGCGTGCAACTTATTGCATTCAATTATTGCTCTTGTATGTACAAGAAAATGGCATCGTGTAAATGGGCCTTTATTTCACAAATGTAATGAACGTTAACACGAACAATTTGATTTTGTCACCGTTTTTAACTACATACAGCGTAGATAGACAATAAAGTAATATGGCCGGAGCGGGCACTATACTACGATGGCGCTTGCGACGCGACAACGAATCCCGACGAAGTTAGCCGAAGCGCGCGTAAATTCGAAAAACTATGGAGTAGATGTCGGTGCATTGAAGGAGAATATATTTATTTGTAATAGTGTACTCAACTCGTTACAAAAATTAAATACATTAGAATACATCTTGAGTAAGACATAAAATATTCACTGTTATAGTTTAGGGCGAAAGAATTTAAAATATTACCAAATAGGCCTTGGCCTGGCGTCCACCAATGCAGCCAATACTTTTAAATTATATTTTTGTTCAAATAAGTAGTCCTATGTAGTTTTTTTTTCAAAGATGTAAATACAATTTTACTCCTAAAAATATTCTCAAAAAAAAATTACCTCCTAGAAAACTTCCATTGTACATTTTCTTCTTAAATTTAGGAAGAAAATTCCTTAAGTTGGCAAGTAAGGTTATTTTAAAAATGTCAAATGATTGTTTACAATACGAATGACGTCACATCACAGATAATCCAAATAAAGACAAATATGGCGGACGGTGTTTTCACCTGTTTAGGAAAACTTCATTTTTAAAAAAGTTTTACCCTGATGTAGGTCCCAAAAAAATATGGTATTATTTTTTTTTTGTCTAATCAAAGGATGTCTGATTAATCATTTATGACCTACTTTAAAAAAGATTCAAGTAGCCTATTAAGAGATGAAGAAAAAAAATGTTATATGTTATACAAAGAACAGAAAAGTGCTCAAAGTGATAAATTAACTATTTATTTATTATTTATTTATACCTCAATGTGACACCTTAGGCTAAAGGTTACAATGGGCGGACTTAAAACCTAATGGCATTCTCTGCCAGTCAACCCTTGTCATGGTGAGAATTAGATGGCGGGTGCTAAACCACTTGCTACTATTGATTGGATGTATAACAGCCAAAGTGTTTATTAATATACAAATAAAGTTGGTTTTGAAACCTTAAAAAATATTTTATTACTTTTTCTCCTAGATTTTGTCTAACTAAGTGCAATGGAGAATATGTATGCCACTGTCAAGCTAAATTATATGACCGAATCTCACCTCTTTTTCAGCCTCCTTTAATTCCGCTTCTTTCTCTTTCACTCTCTGCACAAACATCTGTCTCATTTCGTCTTCCTTTTGTTGCAGCTCAGCCAAGTGAGCGCTGCGCTTTTGTTCGAAAGTTTGTTGGAATGATACCTGCTGACACAACAAGTTATCTCTGTCGTAGAGCCAGTCAACATTTTGCTGTTGCACAAATGGCTTGGCTCCTCCGGGGAAGTACCACGAACTTACAGACAACCGGCGTGAAGTGGAAGTTATTATACTTTCGAGTTTCGTCCAGTGAGTGAGCTGACCGGGGCCCGCTTTTTTAAGGTTGTTAACGCATCTGCAAGCCCCTCAGGTGCTGTAGATATCCATGGGAGGAGTTATCCACTTAACATCAGGTGGACCGCCGGTTCACTTGGCAGCTTAAAAAAAAAATCACGGTAAACATAAGTATGAAGTGGTTATTTTTAATTTATTGGTGCATACCTACTGCCACCCAAATGATAATAATTTTTTTCAAAACAAAAAAAGTATTAAATAAAATTTGTTATTTTAGAATTCAACATCGACATCACATCTAACTTCTTAGCGTGTGGGAGTGGGAAGAGGGGGTGAATATGAGAAGCGGTAGGGCCATATTGAAGTAGTTATAGCCCACATTATTAAAAGGTGGCAACGCATCTGCAACCCCAAGGCAAATGTCTATAGGCGGGGGTTATCACTTAAAATCAGCCGAATCGCCAGCTCATTTACCAACTTCTCACGTAAAAAGTGTGGGGCCAGAGGGGGAGTGCGAGGGCGTTGGGGGAATTAGGGGCGGTGGGAGAATTGGGGGCGGTGGGAGAATTGGGGGCGGTGGGAGAATTGGGGGCGGTGGGAGAATTGGGGGCGGTGGGAGAATTGGGGGCGGTGGGAGAATTGGGAGCGGTGGTAGAATTGGGGGCAGTAAGGGGCCGGACCGGTTTGTTGTCGGCGTCGACGTCGGTGAAGCCCATCTGCTGCAGCCGCCGGCGCCGGTACAGCTCGTAGTGGCGCGCGTGCGTCTTCTCGCGCATGTCCTCCATGTTGGTGCGGATCAGCATCTCGCGCAGCTTCACGAAGTCGCAGTGCGACTCGTTCTCCACTGCCGGTTGCGAAAGAAACGATCACAAACAGACAGCGACGAGAGCCGTTCATGGACACCTTCAATGCGAAGGTGGCAATTAACTATCGGCAAAGAGCGGCAAAGAGCGGTCACCCTGCACGGTGCCCCAGGGGTACTGGCGCGCCCGCAGCGTCTTGTTGCCGATCTTGACGAAGTCGGTGCTGCCCACGCAGGCGAAGGGCAGGTGCGCGTTCATGGCGCCGTTCACCTCCGACACCGACTCGTCGTCCGTCGGGAACTGGTAGATCTCCACGCCGTTCGCCTGCAGCTCGTGCATGATCTTCGACTGGAAGCGACGAGTTCGGCTATCAGACCTTATCGTCTATTGTAACGACGTTTAACAAACGAAAGTTACGCGCGGACACACACCCAGACACGAAACATACATCTGTTGGGCATACAAATAGCTGTCCCGTGGGCGAATCGAACTGACGACCTCCGCCGTAGCCAATACCTTGGCAACTGCACCAGGGAGCCATCAACTCAATCGTGTCCGTCCGGGGAAGTAACACGTGAAGTGGAAATGTTATACTTCCACATTTCGTTTGGTGAGTGAAGTAGCCGGGGCCCACTTTATTGGAATGTGACAACCTTACACGGGTGTTACAAATGCAGCGGTTACTACTTAACATCAGACCCTAGTGTTAACCACGTCGCTTAAAGAAAACATTTCAAAATGGGTTCAAATCAAATCTTTATTCAAATGAACGCTTACGCGTTCTTATGAGTCGTCAAATTTTACTTAAAAATATATGTGGGTTCGTAAGGTACAATAAGGTTGATTATAATGTCAAAAAACAAAGAAGACAAGACACTTGTTAAATCAAAAAGTTTACAGGTCTTTTTTAAGGCCATAGTAAATGCTCTTTCTAAGCGGACATAGACAAGTAGCAATGTGGCAATTATGTTTCAAATTTGCTGGAACTAACCTTAAACTTCTGCAGCTCGGTCTTCGATATGGTGTCGGCCTTGGCGATGATGGGTATGATGTTAACCTTGGTGTCCAGCTTCTTCATGCACACCAGGTCGATCGACTTCAGGCCATGCCCTGGAATAGGTGAAAGAGCGATTTGTAAAGCTGTTACTAACACACACAGATCAATGCAGTTAAATATTAAAAGATTCTCGTCCCGTCTTCTATGACTGGTTTGTGAGTTTGAGCGCTCAATAAAAGTATTACTTTAGGACTTAAAACACTTGTATCTCTCTCGTGATCATACTAAAAAGTTATCGTTAGAGATTAAAACCGTAGTTGAAAAATCTTTAATAAAGTGTAGTATTTGCTTAAATACAAGAATTACTTAATTAGTAAATTTATGAATAATCTTGTATCTTGTATTAACTGATGTTTTTGCTTTCAGCCCCGAGACTATTAAAGCTTCATCTGACGCAGAACCGGTGGGTTTGGGTACGAATAATTACTATTTTAAATACACTATGGTTATAATAAGCTATATTTTTCATCATTTAAAACCGTATGTCAATATTTGAATATAATTTATTGAAACCAATTGTATTCTTTAATTAGTATGCTATATCTGCGATTACCCATTCTGATAATGGTTAAATATTTCAAGAAGTTGCAACGGTAAACATATTAAAAACTTTACAGAGATTAGTTTTCCAATTTTTCAAACATTTATAAGAACATGTATTTTCGAACTCTAAGTATTTCCTTCCCGCATCGTATTGCCAACTTCCTCAACGCACCCAACGAATGAACAGGATAATGCTGTGATGCAAACGGGGCACCGACAGTTGCCACGAACGTGAGCTCATTTGCGTAATAGCCACCGATTTACTGGCCGGTGATTACTGTTTGTTTGTTGTAACGATATTTATTCTTGGCTTGGAATAAAACAAATCGACGCTTTCAATGCAGATAGGTTCAAAACAATCTAATTAACAGAGAACGATGTACCTATCAATCAAACAAAAACGGCTTCTACAACATGGTATGGTTTGACGAGTGTATTTAATTAATAAAATTTACAACGGGTTATATCAATATGGTATCAAGGTTTACCGAATGCACATGTGATTTAAATATAATCATTTAAGATTAAGGTCCATTAAAAAATGCATGAGCAAATTAAGACTATATGGAATATCCAATTTCTATTTTTTCATATCAAGTTTCTCTTCTAAGAATTCTCTAGAAGCCATAATATTCCCAATAGAACAAGAAAGACTATGCTTAAATGCTTCTATCTAGACAGATTATAAAGTATAACACAGAAATTTTCAGGCGTTAATGTTGGGTTAGTTAGTTAAGTTTTCAACTAATACCCTTGGAGTATATTATATACCTAACTAATGAGATACTGCGCAAATCAACAAGCAAAACTCTTACGGAAAGAAACCGTTGAAGACCTTCTAGTGAACATACAATATTTGTATATTTTGTATTATTAGCAATCATCATCATCATTTCAGCCTGTTATCGACTTCCCGTACACTTGCACAGGTCGTCACTCCATCTAGTCCCACGTGGGTCCCACACTACAAGTTATTAGCAATGCAGCGATTTAAACGGTAATTAACACTTTTCACGTACCTATACGTCGCAAATTAAATATATAACATTTACAAATTATCAACATTAATTAAAAAAAAAAAATAGTGAGCAGTAGTTTTAGTTTTACACACATTTCACGTGGTTGTCTACAAGCATCCCAGATGCGAAACAATTATCTGTGGGGGTCACATAAATAAATGTCCCGTGTGGGAATCGAACCTACGATCTCTGGCATTGAGGTCATCAATATTATATGGCTTTCTTACGCAAAGAGTAAAACTGGACCCTATAAGACTCCGTTGTCTGTCCGTCTGTCACCAGGCTGTATCTCATTAACTGTGGTAGCAGGACAGTTAAAATTTTCACAGATAATGTATTTCTGATGCCGCTATAACGACAAATACTAAAAATCAGAATAAAAAATATTTTAGTGGGGCTCCTATACATCAGACATGATTTTTTTGCCGTTTTTATAGATAAAGGTACGGATCCCTTCGTGCGCGAGTCCGACTAGAGGGTTACAGAGGGACCTTTTGTTATACAAAAGGTCCCTCTGTAACACCTCATAAGCAGGCGTGGACTCCAACTGTGGTAGAGCCATGCAACAGTGTTAACTGTTGCACGAATGGGCAGACTCGTCCGGGTAAGTACCACGACCTCACAGAAGACTGGCGTAAAGAAGTGTTACGCTTCTACGTTTCGTCTGGTGAGTGGGGTAGCCGGGGCCCACTTTATTATAAGGCGGCAACGCATTTGCAGTTTGGTGTTGTAAATGTCCATGGGCGGCGGCTTTCACTCAACATCAGGTGAACCGCCAACTTGTTTGTCACTTTCTTACGTAAAAAAGGGCGTACAGATATGGGATAGATACTACTTCCCTACTTCTTTCGAAAGCATCACTGACCGACATTGTCACTAGCACGCGAGTAAAAGCCGATATACCGTTACGACGGTCACCGACCACCGACGGTGACCACTATTGCGGCCCGATCGAATACGTGCGCGGCCGTGTCAAGGACAGCCGTAAACTGTTCCACGGACAGAGGACAGACGGGAAAGTGAAATGTTGCACGGAACCAACAGCTCCCAATATTCGAGGGACAAGGCACCCGCTAATTTTCAGGTTGAGAAGGTCGCAATCGAGCAGGCGGGTCACCTGATGTTAAGTGATAAGTGCCGCCCGTAAGGTTGCAGATGCTTTTCCCCACTCGCTAGACGAAACGCAGAATTATAACACTTACACTTCACGCTGGTCTTCTGTGAGATCGTGACACTTACCCGGACGGACCTGCCCATTCACACAACACAGCACAGAGCGTGTCAAGGCCCTACCACAGGTAAAAAAAGGTAGAGAACTATGGAAATGCATCGCATATAGGTTCCGCAGTATGTATCGCCATCATAAAACCGCTATAGATTGGAGCTCGATACGGTGCCAAGTTTTTTTTAACATATATAGGTTTTTCTTCCGTCTGACACTCTTTCGTTCCGCTTAAGACCATATCTTCCTTCTCCCGCCCTCATCCCCTCACATAGGCGGAGTTGAGACAAAATGTAAAATAAGACCCCGAATAATTACAATATGTGACGACACAAATACTTGTTCCGTGTGGGAACTGAACCCACGTCCGCAGCACCGAAGCCAATAGTTTAGTAGCTACGCCATCGAAACATCGATCAAGGCCATACCATCACAGTTTGAATTACAATATGTATTTTTATTTGAAATCTAAACGGTGAGAATTGTTCACATTTGTTCCAATAACAGTAATGATTTGCAACCTAATTGGATATTGGAATTTATTAGTCTTAATATTAAGATTAAATGTTAGCTAATAATCCTAACTCTATAGGATGAAATATGCCAGAGCTTGATTTCTTTTTATAATTTCCTTTAAGTTATATATGAAATTTGAATTCGAACTTAGTACATAACCAAACAGATTATGAACAGCATTTACTCAATATGTATTAATACAAAACTTTTACTGGAACAATTGTCTAGCCACAAAACTATTTTTAGCCACAGCAGAAACAAGAGTGTGTGAGGTGAGTGTACTAGGACTATCAGTGTTTTATTGAGGTTTGTGTGTGCAATATGGTTTGTGAGTGGAATATTAATAACCTTCTATCGGAGCAATGTCAATGGAAAGTTATGGCTTCTCAACTTGTAGTATGTCAGTAACTTGTATTTTATGCATATGGGTTTGTGCTAATTCTATTATAGAGAGCTATAAAAGTGTGCCAATAGTCTGTTGATATTTAAAAATTTATAAGTTAAAATTGTAATTGAATGTACAAACTTATTGATTGATGTATATATTAAGTGTGTTTTAAGTTAATATATTTTTTCAGTAGTAAAGTAGCCAAAATTACATTAATGCATCAATTTATTTAAAGCTGTCTTTTCTATTGGATAAGGGCTGTGTTAGGTTAGTGACCAGGCACTGGCCTAATTAAAATAAACACCCGAGCAACCTGAGTTCAAATCCTAGTGCTGGCAAATGAAATTGAAATGCTAATGAAATTGTGAATTGCAATTTTAAGTACCTACATATTTATTATTACTTGCTAATAGGTGAAGGAAAAAATTGTGAGACCTTCATGTTTTCAAAAGAAATATAAAAAAATCTCAAAAAAGTAATTGAAGGTGTACAGAAATGGTTTATGGAGTCTCTAAAATAAAATCAAACTGTACAATACAATTGCCAAAGTCAAAAAGTATGAGTTTTGAAAAAAGTATAATCTTCTTAGGTTCATAATACATCAAAACATTTTACCAGTGGGACAGATGAAGTAGAGACACACATGCAGCCTGCTGTCATGGTATGCTGGCAGCGAACGCTTAATCTTCAGTTCCTCCTGCAGATAGGCTTCAAATTGGGCATCAATGTAGTCCACCACTGCCTTGAAGCTGTCTTCCTTGTTCACTTGATCTCCATAGCCCACCGTGTCACAGATAGTAAGCTAGAAATGTAAGAATATCTGTGAGGAGAATAAAAATAACCCGTAAACTATAACTAATAGCTCTTTAAAGAACAACCATAGTAGTTACAATACTATCCCAGACAAGGGTTAGGAAGAAGTTTCCCCACAAATGAATGAATGAATGAATATTTTTATTTAGTTTTAACAAGCACAGTTTTGTTAACAATTGAAAGAATTTATAACTAAGGCATGAAACCAAAAAGGTATGTACTTAGTAAAATTCTCCGATTTTCTGTACATATCAAAAAAAGGAAGGGTTGTGGCCATGCACTTTGTAAAAATCTAACCATTAACAGCATGATTCACATTTGCAGCAATGCATTTGTGTCGACCCCGCCTAGATAGGATAATAAGTACTTTATAATTTCTGATTTTTTTTACTGTTTAACCATAACATGTAAAGAGGTTTAGAAATAAACATTTGTTTCGTGTAGATAAACAATTTTTTTTGAACGCTAATCGAAGCTGTATTGTGTAATAATTTAATATATTTCAAGAGATTAATGAAACTTACCTTCAATCTTACACTGCTTTCCTGTAACTCATATGTGTGAGCCTTAAGCTTCACTGTTGGTAGATTATGAGGACTTGGCGAGGACTCAAAATTGGTATTAAACAATGAATCCATAAGTGTTGATTTGCCCAAACCAGTCTCACCTAAGGCAAGGAGACTATATCAGTTGATGTTGTCATATTTAATTTAATATTTACTCTAAAGAATAGTTGATAACATGTAATTTATTTTATAAATTTTTTAGAATTGAAATGCTATGAATAAATAATATTTCATTCATGACCATGATATTCTTAAAAAAAAAAAAATTGCTTTTTGTGTATTTTTATGCGAAAAAGAACACCACATGGATCTTTTATGTTCAGCAGTGAACATAGATTGCAGTTGCAAAGAATTTTAAATCTAAATATAAATGTCCTTGTCTAAATTACAGAAATATGGAATTGTGAAATATTTAGTATTTGCATGAGTGCCCAATCAGAAAACAACCCTACACTAGCACATAAACTTATTTATTACTTCTTTCTTATTTTAGATAGTTATTTTAGTAGTTGTTTATACAAGATTATGTTTGTTAAATTGGTATATAAAACAATCACAATCAATAATTGATTTAGTAATATGTGTACAGTTTGATATGTGTTAGTACGGTGAAACTAAAATAGCAAAGTTTAAAGTTGATAAGCCGGCGAACAAGTGATTAGTCAAGTGGTACCAAATGAATCATAGCTTACCAATGCAAAGGATGTTGAAGACAAAACCATTTTGTACGCTTTTATTCACCAGCTGATCTGGCAGGCTGTCGAAGCCGACATGCCCCGACAACTTCAACGTTCGCATTGCAGTCTCCGTCTAACAACATAAATGGTTTAAAGTTACCTTTGGACAAGAATTAATGTATTTTGATTATTTCGCAATGTTGATATAACAAATCTTGTATGTTTGTAAATAAATATCCACTATTTACAAATTCAAATCAGCTATCATAGCGTTATTTATCTGGAGTTATAAATAATAATTGTAAAGAGAACGCCCAATCTATGTTTTCAATTTATTCTTTCAACATTCGCGAAGAACAAACAAGTGATGGAAATGAAATGTTATAACTAAATACCAAATAGTCTAAACACACGGTAAATGACACGAAATAATGTGATAATGAAATTTTAAACTTACTTTAGGAGGTTCAACATCAATTGCCGCCATGTTTTTCACTGTCTGTTTAACTGCTCAATGACTAACACACACTGAAGTTAGTATACAGTTTTTTTTAAGAATAATTGCGATCACTTAGGTCTAACTTCACGTTACAAGGTTAACAACCTTAACAATGTTCAAATATAAGTTTGTTAATTTTTTTTTATTTAAAAAGCACTAAAAAACTATAAGTTCAAAAGAAACTAAAGTCTTTCGAATGTCTTTGCTGGATATCTATCATGTAAACATTCTTTTAAATGATAACGCAATTGGCAAGTGACGTTTTATATCGGAATGTCTTAAATCTTAATATTGGTACACCTGTTCTATAGTTTGCCATTATTATTTTTTCCCCTTACTGTCAGGTAAAGTTTTCGAGCTTATATTTTAAATTGAAACGTTTTGTATGAGTCAGAAATTAAATGGTATTCTAAATATTATACACATAATAATATGAAAGTAATAAGAAATAAGTTCAAACAAATTCAATTTGTTAAAATGCAGCTACTTCACTGTTCATTTATAAATAATAAAACGTAATATTTCATTTAAAAAATAATTTAAAGACAGCCGTTTCTTTCTTAGTTTGTTTCCCTAAATATCAATATCGATTGATTGGGAGACATTGACATGGATACCTTTTTAGTGGCAACTCTCCGTAATTCCAAAATGGTAGAAAGCGACATTGGTGCGTTATCATGTGAGCCGATGAAATAATGTTTTCTTGAATATTTTCGTCGTGAGTGGATTTTAAAATTGTGTTTAAGTGAGTTGTGACATATTTAATCATGGCGGATTTAAAGTCGCCGCCTTTTAGTGAAATCAAGAGACCAGAGGAAGTCGTCAGGATGACGACCAACGACAGCCTGAAATTTGCAGTCCTTATCGGCTTGATTGAAGTCGGACAGGTGACCAACCGAGAGGTGGTGAACACCGTCTTGCATTTGGTGAGTGAAGATTAATACATTTGCTCTGCTACGCCACAGTTATTCGCATGATTAGGCACGATTCTTATTAGATTCGACTTAGAAAGGTTAATTCCACGCCAGTTTTAAAAGTAGGTGTCAAACTACTAAACTTGTTTTGTTGGTGTGTACCCTTGTTTTAATTATGAAACGGGCAAAATTTGTAGGCCATATTAACAGCGGCGAGACGTGCCTATTTTCATTGTTTTTATCGATCGCGCTATGTCGTGAATCGTAGGATAGTGCGATCAACTCCGCGGCCTTTGCCGCCGGCTAGCGCTGTTTGTTTTGATCGTGGCGTTAGGTTTCGGCGGCACGTTGATGATAAATAAACCGGTGATTTGTATTGAAACAAATTCAATTATTCAATTGTATTTGAAATTAAGTATATTCGTAAGGTTTTGTCACATTGCACATTAGGAAGTTACCATTTTAGGAAGGCGTAAAATTATAGGCCGCTGTAACCTTTACCGGTTGTTTTCGTTCCCTTCTGTGCTAATTGGGGCGTGCAATAATGCGGCTTTCATTTCCCATAAATGTCATGACATTCTGTTTGCGACTTTATCGGTATGGTTGCACTGACTGCTCTATATTTTATAGCCAACGTTTTAAGGTTTACGGTTAGGTTTAACATAATATACAATAAAAAGGGCATCCTGCAATCTATATGTTGCGTCTACAGCCAAGCTTCGATCTTAGCTAAATACCGCATTGGAAATACTTTCGTGCATGAATATTTTTTTTGCAACAAGCTGGCAAGCGAGCTTGTTCATCTGATGCTAAGTGATAAGCGCTGCCCATGGACATTTGTAACAGCCGTAAGGTTACAATTGCGTTGCCACCTTTCAATAAAGTTTGCCCCGGTCGTCTCAACATCACTCACCACACGAAACGAAGAATTGTGATACGTCCACTTCACGTCGGTCTTCTGTGAGGTCGTGGTACTTCCCCAGATAGACCTATCCATTCGTGCAACAGCGAAGACTGCTGCCTGGCCCCACTATAGTAATACTAAAAGAGACAGTAAGGCTTTATTCTTTTAAATTTTTAGTATGTAAAACTGATTAGGAACGCAGTTTATCACAAATTATTGCCGTTATCTGTATATACCTATTTTAATTCTATTATCACGTTTCCTAATCGGCCGCTATCTATCTTTAAATAGAAGCGAGACATAAGAGGCCTTGTAGAACTCATCTCGATATCGTTACCGCAAATGTATTGAAGTTTCCCAGTCTTTCGGCACACATGGATTTTAAGGAAACTTTAAGTAGAAACATGGACCTATGAAAGCTTTTTCTGCTTCGTTGCTGAATATTCCTGGCGCTAAATTGATTATTAATTTTGCTGTTTACAAGTGAACTAATTCACATTTTTTGAACTACCTTTTCCAATGACTCAATCGCTTGCCTCGCCATCTTTGTCGAAGTATAAAAGATTTTCGTAATGAAAAGGTTTCACCTTGCCCTTTTCTCATTAGAGATTTATAAAAACAGGTCGAGAAGAGCGATCGCATGATAAAACATCAATATGATCTCAAAATTTGGCGGTCACTCAAAGCGGTTGCAGTAATCAATATGCATACCGCGATACGACTACATTAGTGTTGCAATATAAGGTTATGTAAGAAATCTATTTAACATATTTACTAACACTTACTACTAAACTTACGTAAATAAGTCAATACTTAACATGACTAAAACAAACGCAAACTCAAAACACGTTTGTTTAAAAGCTCTAACAAAGTCTGAATGCGGATATGAAAATAGTTTTTCACCGTCAAATACTATGCGGTAAACAGGTTACGTGTTCATGGAGTTGTAGTATAAAATGGCCTAATTTAAACAAGAGAGGATTGTTCTTTATCCTTTAGAAAGAACAAGAACTACGACTTTTGACCTGCTGTCATGTGTTTATGGTAAACTAGCTTACAGGAAAGTTATTCCGTTTTGCTTTGAAGACCGCCCATATTGCAATCGAGTGGAAAATGGATGGAGGCAGGCTGAATAATTTATTCTAACAGATAGTGTACGCTGTGACTAAGGAATGGTCCAGATTTAGATTTGATTTTATGATTTTTCTTTTCCAACTGGGTAATATTCTATCCGGAAATAAGATAAATAGTACGTCAATATTTATTAGGGTTTGCCAAGTAATTGGATTCTCTTAAATAAATATTAAAATAGACCGTAAAACAGTCTGGTTAAGTTTCATTAATAATAATGACATAAGTTTTAGGTAAATTTGGTCCTACGGTGGTTGGTGCAATGGAACTCTTACAGTTTGGCTAGAATATACAAATTGAGGCTTCGATACATATTATAGTGCGGGAGCAGCTTGTTTTTGTTGCACGATTGGGCTAGTTATTCCGGGAAGTTCCGCGGAACCTTACTGACTTACTAAAGAGGCTACACTGAAATTTATGGCAATAGCCACGCTATAGGTGTTCTAGACGCCCATCTACCTTGCTAACCACTTAATTCCGTAATAGAATAGAAAAATATATGGTGCATAATCGTAGGTGCACACTCATTTAGTGTGTATCAAAGTATTCAGCTAGCGCATTAATTATTCAACATTCGCGCTGCATTGTCGCCGACACTTAAGCGGTCGGCACCAAGTACTTAACTGGGAACAATGAGTCCCCGGCATACTTTGACCACCGCCGGTTGCGTCGCATTGCGAACAATGGCCATTACGTTGTTTGCTCTGTTCCTTTGACGGGATCTCACCACCGTTCCGCTTGCAGCTTTCCTTATCTTTCGCCATAGGCTCCGATACCACTGATAACTGCTTCACCGGGCCGTCGTAAGTTTCAATTTTGGATGACCCAATAAATAGATAAAATTATCAGTTATGTATATTTAGTGCGGTTTTTTTCATACGATTGTCGAGTTCAGAAAGTACAGTGTTGCAACGTTGAGAGCAAGAAAAATCGCGCTATTATCTGGGCACCGTCTGTTAGTGTTTTGTCATGTAAGTTGCGCGGAATGGTTGCACAAGCAAAGCAAAGAATTACGTCATTACCATATAACTAACTACGGACCGTGCGCTATCTTCTGTACTCGTGAACGCTAAAAATAATCGTCCGCAACGCACTTTGAATTATTCACTTACGGTCCGTTTTGCATTGGTTTATGGTCATGATAGCTGACGACTTTGTCGCATAGCTATAGCTCTAATCCCAATCTATATTGTTTGTTACTGAGATTTAGGATATAGATGCATTAAATTTTGTGGTCTTTGAGTTTTTGGATAAAAATGGGTTTACGTTAGTTGGCAAGTACGCCGTCGGGTGAGCCTGATAAGTTTGGCCACACAGTCTATTGTATCTCTCGCTAAGTAGCCGGCACCTGAACAATTGTCTCACTCGGTGGTAGGTGGTGGTAAGTACTACGGCTACCATGGTAAACATAGTCTGGCAAATGCTTGACGTAACCCATTGAAAGCATATTTTTCATTCTCTTACCATGCAAGTTAAGGTCAAGTCAAAAGTAGAACTTTTCAGGTAGTGTGTTCCACATCTGGTCCTTATCTCTAGCCGATGGATGAGACTATTGGCTAAGTGCTGACTTACGCCAGCAGCAGTAGTTGCAGGGTTTAATATAATATAATTATTATACAGTTTGTGTAAGCTCATTTCGTTCATCGACTTCGTCATATTTGTGCGTCAAGCCGAGTGTATAACTTTATTTATTCAGTATTCAGGAGCACGTATTGACGTAAAGGATTGGTGTCATTGTGTATGCGATGTGAGTATCAAATCAAATTTAAATTTGCGATCAAATGAAATTTTTCAATAAAATTACAAAGCAAGAGCATGTCTTCAACATTGGCGCGAAGGGGGAAAATTGCATGCATAACAAAAACACCTAATGAATAAAGTTGTTTATTCATGAAGAAGTGGCTAACATTATTGTTATTAGTTAATGTAAAACGTATCTGTAAGAGCGATAATTCTTGTTGATTACTAGGACTATTATTTAGCTAAAGAAATCGATCCAAGTGCTGTTGATCTTGTGCTCGAAGGTAGTTCTAAAAAACCCCACAAGCTGGCACCTAGGTAATCTTCTATTGTATTCCATTGCATTGCTTATGTGATATTCGGCCAATTGCAGTCGAAGCAAAACTTCGACTGAAATCGGTCTAATGTAGAGGAAAGCCAGTAACTGCCAGGCGTTTTTTAATCAAAATCTTTGTCAAGTTCATGCTCTTGAGAAGCCTTTGACCCCGTCTCAGTCTCCTTATATTTACCAAATACTCACAATTCTATGAAAGGAATCAAAGACTGATATATTTCAAAAAGATATTTGCTTTCGATTTCAGATTCCAATTTTAGCGTACCAAATCGACAAGGGATTTTTTAATTAATAATAACTGTTTATCTTTGATATCCTGTTGGATATTGGGAGCTTTTCCCACAAATTGTGCAGTCGATATCCCCACCGCGCGATTGTACAAATTTCGATAACGATAATATCCCTTGGATGTTCATTTGAGAAAAAAGTGTTTGCTATAAAGCAAGTATAACTTTTTGGCACCAGTATTGCTAAAAATGCAATAAAAACAAAGTGGATAAGACGTAGAGATTGGCGCGGTGAGAATATCACCGCTAGGGGTTAGAACGTTTGAGCATGTTATCCGGAAGGTCCGGGTTATATTCTTGGTGGTGGCAAAAAATTTATCGACAATTTATTTATACATTTTCAGTTTCATCTAAAATGCAGAAGCTAGCATTAAATATATTATCTAAGCCAGTGATTCTCAACCACTGTGCTGCGGAATCACTTTTAAAATACTCGCTTTTTATAAATTTATGCCAAGCTACGGAAGCCAAGTATGAATCCTGATTACCGCATACAAAAGTAAGGAGGTATTCCAAAGGATAAGTTTTATCTCATGAGGTGGAATTAAAACACAAATTTTTTTTTTAAATTAAATTATGATTTCGTTTAATTGTTGGAACATAAAACATGGTATAAACTAGCTTACTTAACAGATTTTTTTGTTATTTTTATTAGAAAAATTGTTAGTATATAAATATATAACGAAATATATTTAACTCAACAGATGTACTGGTGGGCTTTCAAAATTCACCTTCCAAGAGATTTGTATTCTTCAAATTGTTATGTTCCATTTGACAACATTAGAGGAGAATTATTCAGTATTTCTCATATATGGATATTAAAAAAAACTGATTAGGTTTACGAACCGATTCGTTTGTGATTACGAATACTTCTTTATTTTAATTAATTTTGAAGATTTCGATTAGATAGATAAGATTCGATTTCTAATATGTTTTTGTTATTATTTCGAAAATATGCACATGATAAGTCAGCAATAGCAAGTAATGCTACGATAAAAAAAAAAGGTTGAGAATCACTGATCTAAGCAAATCATCTATTGCATGACAGATTGAGTGGGCCTTGAAATAAGAACAAAAAAAGACAGCAAAGAAAAAAAAAACGAGTTAAGACGAGCATTGTATTGTATTGTATCGTCGTCATAGGAGATGAGGTATCGTGCGTTCTTGACCGCGACCTTGCCTACACCAGCCCGCGACCCATCTTATTCTCTGTTCACTGCTGCTATTGATGAAAACTATCTGCCGTACTGGCATTCGCGGCCGTCGATGTATTTGCATCGCGAGCAGAATATCGCTCCGCAAGTGGTATAGTTAGCGAAAGTGAATTGGTGTTGTTTTAATAATAGATTTTACCTACCTAAATAGTAAATACGAATTCCTTGTTTCAAGCGATTTTTTTAATATATATAACTGTAATTTATTTACGTTTACATACATGCATATATCTTCGTATTACCCAAATTGAGGAAACAAGCGCACGTGAGTGGTTGTAAAAGTTCCAAGAAGAAATGATTTCCGCGTTAATTGATTGCTCGTAAATGAGTTCTCAACGAGATTGCAGAGCAGGCTATAGGCGGGGGAACAATGCCAGATTGTCCAATTACCGCGACCAGCGACCTGCGACCTGCTCGACTGGGTAATTGCCACCGGGGTTGCGTTCAATCGATCGCCGAACACGGCTCGATGTTAATTTGTCGCCGTTGCTAAAATATTTACGTAGTTGCGTTGTTCACGTTCTTGGTAAGATCGTTGGTATATTAGTCGAATAATTCGGTTGATTTGGATAGGCCAACTGCGGTACTCTGTGTGACCGCAAATTATAATTGCATAGTGATTCGTACTGCGGCAGATATCGTGCGGTGTTCGTCGGAAAACGTCGATGTAATTAAGATCAATCGAGGGGCATTCGTGTGTCAGAGATCGATTGCACTACAGCCTGCTCGTAACTGTTGTAAAAACTGGTTTTCGGTTTGCGTCAAGGCCGTTCATGTTCGTTTAGTTCAAAATGTAATCGTATCAACGTACTTCTTTGGTTTCATTTTTCAATGTACGTTTGTCTTCCTATGCGAGCCAATAAAACAATGGTTGACGATTGTATCGGTATGTTAAATAATATATTGTTCTTTTATACAATCGAAGTGTTAGGAGAATTAAATGCAATTTTTCTTAAACAATCTGAAGTTGTATAGAATTCCATGTTATGAAAGTATTCGATTATTACGCATACTAGTATTGTATAATATATGATATTATGAATGAACATTTTTCATATTTAATACAAACTTGGCGGAACGGTGCCATAACACGTTTGGCTAATATCCAAGATACAACCCGTAAGGATTACCTAAGAGTGTTCCCGAATGTTGTACGAACTCTGCGGTAGTTTCATCTTATACCAATTAAATTCATTGGCAATGGAAGTCATCATCATTTCAGCCCAGCTAAGTTTCCCTCTTTTTTATGTAAAAAAGTGGCAAATGAGCTGACGGTTCACCTGATGTTAAGTAATTACCGCCGCCCATGGATATTTGCAACACCCTTAGGGTTACGAATGCGTTGCCACCTTTAAATAATGTGGGCCCCGGCTACCCCACTCACCAGACGCACGCAGACGTGTAACACTCCTAATTTATGCCGGGCTTCTGTGAGGCCGTGGTGTGTACTTACCCGGACGGACCTGCCCATTCGTGCAATAGTGAAAACTGTTACGTGCCCCTACCACAGGTTACCTTCTGGCCAAAGGCCAACCTCACTAGCTTCGTGATAACGAAGTAAGATCCTGATCCAAAAGAAGAATGTTATACCAGTAAAGATCGCATCCAGTGTATAAACTAACTAATAATTGTGAAAACATAGTTATGTATGCCAATTCGTCATTACAAATTTAGGATATGGGAGTCACTGCGAAATTGCTTCGCATTCGTCTCAGGTTTGACGTCAATTCCAGGTAAAAATTATTTGTATTTGCGAACAATGGAGTTATTAAATTCTGTTGAGCAGCTAACACGGCTGATTGAATATGACCAATAATTAATTAAATATTTATTTACGTTACCGTTGTAGATAGATAGATAGATAACATATCTATCCTACCTTTAAATGAGCAATTCTTGTATATGTCCGGCATCAGCTAATTCCATGAAATTTAGTATATGCCTATATGCGGGGGCGAAAAATGGATCTGGCTAAGTTTCATTTTTAGAAAAAGTCGTTTTATCCCTATTTTTAGGGAATGAAAAATATCATTCGAACATGGTGGTAAATTCGCCAAAAAAGATATTATAATAGCTCGTTTGGTAATCAAACGATTCACACTAGATGGCGCCAAGAATTGCTAAATGCGATAAAAACAATATCATATCGTCATCGACTGCTTAGCCTAGTGTGTAAAGCCCCGAGCGCGAAATGGGAGGACGCAAATGCCGCAGCATCGAAAGATTTTGTTCTTTTATCTAAAAAAAAATCCCAATTTAAAGATAATCTAAGTGCAGAGACTAACACTAAAAATAAAACTTTTATATATTATTTTTTATTTCCGAATCTGACTTTCTTCCACTATTGGCCAAATCATCTCCGCTCCGAATCGTGTATTAATAGTGTCTTTTAACAGTACACATGATGCCGTACTTTCACGGGCGTTTTACGACTCTCGTATAGATATTGCTTTATTAACCGTAACGAAACCAATTACTTTCCTCGCTCGATTGACTCCACGTATGTGTTTAATTAATAAAAACTAATCACGGGTAATGGCCGACGGACTATTTAATAAATGCGTATCCTTCCTTCTCTTTGACACCGCTACGTTAATGCCAGCATTATATTATTGTAAACTACCTACGTATGTGTGCGTATAGTATGTATACGTGTTTATCGTTAAATCGTGCAATAAATAGTTAAGTAATTTGTTATTAACATTAAAACAAATCTAGACGGATATTTGGATTATTCGAAAGCCCTTACCTTAGTGCACGAATAAAAATGTAGATATATTTACATCCAACCAGATAAAGAGAACTAAATTTACCAACTTTATGTTTTAATGCAAAATGGATCGAATAGTCATTGGCCTGCGATGCATTCTCGATGGCCCAGGTGAAAGATTTCGTACACAACTTTAATAGTTTCAAGTATATATATAAACTAAAATAGCAAATATAATTGTAACAATTAAAATTATCTTTAAGCTAGCAGGAAAAAGTAACCGCCGTGCTCTAAAACACAGTTCTCTTTAGTCAAAAGTATAAGTATGCAATCCAAACAGAGAAGCGCGGGGTAGGGCAGCCAGTTAGTGGATTACGCAAACATCGGCCCACCCTTTGTAGCCTTATGGAATTTACACTTTCTGGAATTAAATCGGGCTACGCACTAATTGGTATACAAAAAGTGGTCTTACAAACAACACGTCACGCCCTTTTGTTATGTATACCCAATGACTTGTTAATTCGGATAATCCGTAGAGAAAAATACGGAAATTTAATAGTGCTTTTTTAAATTGCAACTAAGGTATAATTATAGGAATATCTGTTATCCAAAGTAGGTCAAAGAATATTTATCAGTTACGTAGTACCGATGGTACAGGCTTTTTTATTATAGTAACATGGTAATGATATGTCCAGATATTAATTTTTTACTTAATTATTTTGTAATAATAACATAATATATTCATGATTTGAAAGTGGATTTACGATTCTTCTTTTAGAAAAGTGAAGAAATATGCAGATTTAAATCGGCATTTGAATTCGAATTTTAATATTGTAGTGCTCCAGAATTACAGATTTCTGCATTACAAGTATTTTCCGATAAAGCGATCAGGATAAAACAAGAATTGCTGTTGAGGCTACGTGGCCTCTGGAATGACAACGCGTGCAGCGAGGAAATCAACGTATCGCTGGAATAAAGAGCAAAGCGGTTGAGCTGGAAATTACGAGTGGAATTTACGTCAAATTTTCTATATCACTATTTAGGAAAGGTAATTTTTGTTAAGTACCTGAATAATGCACATTAAGTAATTGTGATTTATAGAAAGTCAGTTAACATATGTCTACACCGACAAATATTTCAGCTTTTCCTTACAAAATGTCTCTAAATGTTTATATTTATTTATAAAGAGTAACTCACTATAAGTCTATTTTAATGTTGTACAAGCAATATACATAATAATGCTTTTCACATATGAGATAAAATTTGGAGCTTGTTCAATCGTTCGATTGCCATACACAAACAAACTGACACACGTGTACTCTTACAATACGTGCAAAGATGGTACGCACTTGTATGTATACAGCGTGTCGTTACCAACGCGACAATAAATGAACACACATATAGAGGATAAATTTTTAAAATTGTATTAAACATTTACATTCTTCAAACATCAATATTTACAGAGTTATTAAATTTTCCAAAACAAACAATTTTAGAACACCTTTACGTATAAAACTGTAACGTAAAGTTCATTTGTAAAGGTCACAAAGCATATGAGTGGGTTGAATGAATTTAAAAGAGACAAAACATACTGTTAGAAGGAAAGGCTTGTAATGCGACGCTGTGGCGCGAGGTATAGGATGTTACAAATTTTGTTTCTTTTTTACTTAATTAGTTTGTTTGAAAAATGTTTTATTTTCAATTATGGATTTTGTTTAACGTTAATATTTTTTTATAATTATTGGCAAGTAGCGTTAGACGTGTGTTCATTTATTGTCGCGATGGTAACGACACGCTGTATAGCTCGCAGTGCGCCAGTGAAACCGGAGAGTGGCGGTGTGGGGGCACCGGCGGTGTCGGCGGGTCGATACCGCGTCCGCTACAGCTCATTAGTACGCGGAGCAGACGTTTAATTATATTCATTAGCCGCCAGCTAGCGCCTCTCATCGGGCCCCGTTTCAATATTTAATCGCAATTACGGAAGCATAAAGAATATCTCGCTACGTACGTATAGCTATGAAGGACTGTATCTTCAGACGACAGCTGCCGTTTGAAGGGTATTTCGCATTATAAATAAATTTCTTAGGAATACGTATTTCTCTGCAGGACGTTGTAGACGTGTAGCGTTATTAAAATGTATCGTCCTAGGAACGTGAGATTACGTCGATAATACTATATACAGCGTGTCGTTACCATCGCCACAATAAATGAACACACGTCTAACGCTACTTGCCAATAATCATAAAAAAATGTTAACGTTAAACAAAATCCATAATTAAAAAAAAATATTTTTCAAACAAACTAATTAAGTAAAAAAGAAACAAAATTTGTAACATCCTATACAACTCGCGCCACAGCGTCGCATTACAAGCCTCTCCTTCTAACAGTATGTTTTGTCTCTTTTAAATTCATTTAACCCATTCATATGCATTGTGACCTTTACAAATGAACTTTACGTTACGCTTTTATAGGTAAGGGTGTTCTAAAATTCTTTGTTTTGGAAAATTTTATAACTCAGTAAATATTGATGTTTAAAGAATTTAAATGTTTAATACAACTTTAAAAAGTTATCCCCTATATGTCAGTTCATTTATTGTCGCGATGGTAACGACACGCTGTATATACATGGTGTTTGCGAGACTTTACTTCGGCCTACCTAATAGCACAGTAAAGCACAAGGTATATCGTTCTCAATGATTTCTACCGCTCCCGGTTATCTATAGAGGTTATATTTCAGCCCATTCGTTGCGTGGCCCTACCACAGTTAAGAAACAAACAACTTAATTAAATTTATTAATCTTCGAGAAAGTCTTCTCTGACAACCCAAAGCTCGAGATGTGCCTCGACTATTTTTTTTTTCCAGTCGATTACCGTCGAAGATGTATTGTATTCTGTTTAGAAGGGTTTGGGTAACTATTCCCAACGACCATTGGGACCTAGAAAGGTCTATTGCAGTCTCACTTCAAAAACATTCCCCCTTTACTACAGGAAAGCATTATCCTGTGTTGTGAGAACGTTTTACAGACAAATTTTAATGGGTCACACAAATATTGAACCCACGACCTCCTGCGCCGAAGCCAAAACCTTGGCAAATGCGCCACGGAGTCACTACCGTGGAAGTTGAACCATAATCGACTCGTACAGTGATTCGCGTTCTTTACAGCATGTGGATTTCAGTCGGCGTGTGCAAATAAGCACTGCCTAGAAGCGGGAACGGGAACAACATTCGATATGGACTTTGCGTCACCTGACAACGTATCGTGCCGCCGGCCACTCGGCCATTGATTGGGCGCACGGGCGCGGTGCGAAACGCGACCGCGGCGTAATTGATTCGTTCCACGGTCTTCGACTTCGAACTTCGACCGCTCAGGATGGACCCGTCGGGCGATAGTGTCGGCCTCGCTTTATCAAATCGCCCGTAGCTATTTTATTCCGCTGCGAGCTACTGCAACACGTGTGTATTTTTAACTTGGCTTGAAATTTCTGTCGATACGATATCGTACACAGGGTTTCATTGATAGTTTAACTTTCGTAGTTCAAGTACTTTAGTATATTATACACGATTTTTTTTCCTCCTTATTTTCTCCATTCCTTTGTCGGTTGACTTGTAGAGGACACCTATTAAGTCCGCCATTGTAAGCTATTGTGCAAAATGTGTTTAAATAAAAAAATAAATGTTTGAACGACACTATCGTGGTGGGGAACGACATATCTTCGTATGGTTAAACCGGTGGTAAATTTCAAAATCCATAAGCTTAATTTAAATTGAACAAACGATGAACTTAGTCAAGTCTTAATATGCGTTGCTGTTGTTGAAATGTAATAGCCACAGCAGATTCATACTCAACTACTGAATAAAGTAATTCAGAGATAATACCATGGTTCAGTCGACGCCGTATACTTTTTTTTTGTATGAAGTAGGTTTCATAATTACTTTCGAAGGTAAAAGTGATAAAGACAAGTAAGTCACGAGAAGCTATTAATTTTTTTAATCTTTTTTCATTTTGTTTAGCATACATTTTAAATAATTAGAGTTTTCTCTATTAATTTTTTTAATTACTATTTCCTAATATACAGTTAATTGTACTGATTACTAATGCTAGTAAATGAACTTTATTAGAAGGAAGCGTGCTAGGACTCTATTTTTACCTAACTGCGCGAGACAAATGAAGGTAATGTGCTTGTCGGTCTATGCATGTATATTTACATAGACTAGGATTTAGTTGGTTACTAGAAAGGATTAAATAAGCTTTATTCTTTAAATTTTATGTGAAAAAGTGGCAAACGAGCTGGCGGTTCACCTGATGTTAAGTGATAACCGCCGCCCACGGACATTTGCAACACCGGTTGCAGATGTGTTGCCACCTTTTAATAATGTTGGCCCCAGCTACCTCACTCACTAGATGAAACGCAGAAGTGTTACACTTCTACTTTACGCCGGTCGTCTGTGAGGTCGTGGTACTAACCCGGACGGACCTGCTCATTTGTGCAACAGCGAAAGCTGTTGCGTGGTCCTACCACAGTAAAATGTTTTATTTATCATTCATGCATTTAGCACGTGGCGTCCCCACCTAATCGATGTCTCCACGGGCACGGGCGGGCACGTTGTAAATGCGATTACATTGAACAGAGATCGCGTCGCCCTCACCTTTATATGCTAAGGGCTGATGCACATCTGGTGATGGTAAAACATTAACTAATTATGGCAAAAGAAATCCACGATTAGTAAATTAATAATCAGTTAAAAGCAGAGCAATTTTTCCCTGTCGTACCGTTTAGCGAGTTTGGTCGTGTTTAGGAATAACCGAGTATCAAGAGAGAATTTTATTTATTTTATTACGACTCCTTAAAATTTTAATATTAGCTTATCCCATTATGTATCAGACGTTCACCTATATATTTAAATAACGCTACACATATGGTTATTTTTATACATAGATTAACATCTATGTATAGAACTTTTTGGCAGACGCAGGCTCAAGGCTACTTGGACCGCCGCCGTTCGCGTAGACGTAGGTCGTGTGGTGTAGTGTGCATTTAGAAAATATGGCTGCAACATCCTGCACTGCGCTTAGCCAGGTGGACATTATGTGTCAATACTTATGGGAGAATGGGCATGCATTGCCGTTGTTTTTGTGGCACATCCGTCGTCGACATGCGTCCGTTAATATGTTTGTGTTTGCGCTTAACAGGCGATAATCTTCCTGTTTAGCCACGGACATACCAACCCTGCTTAGTCAGAAAGTACCAACGACATTTGTATTTGGTCCCGCATCAGTATCCACGCAATACCGCTAACCGCTGATTCTACTTTGGTGAAAAAAAAAAAAAAACAAACTCGTTTATCTAGTTGAAAAATCATTTAACGCCTCGTCGGATTTTTTCTTAAAGACAGATTTAATACGCAATTCTTTTTTTATGTAAGAAGGTGGCAAGCGAGCTGGCGGTTCACCTGATGTTAAGTGATCGTTTAACATCAGGTGACCGCTTGCTTGCTCATTCACCGGACGAAACGCAGAAGTATAACACTTCCACTTCACGCCGGTCTTCTGTGGCGTCAAGGTATTTCCTCTGACGGACGTGCCCATACGTGCAACGTTTGAAAACTGTAGCGCGGCCCTACGACAGTCAAGTTGCCAACGCATCTGCAAACCCTTGGGTATTATAGCAGATGTCCATGGGCAACTTTCCACATTTAACAAAAAAAAAACAAATAACTAATGTCAGCAACGCGTTTGTCTGTCGATCCGTCGCGTCCGCAACGGCCAATATCGTGCAGGCCGCGCGTGTGGCCTCGTGGCGATCGATCCCTTCGCCGGCGCGGCTTCCACGGGCGCTGAGCTAGGTGGGTTGCGGATTAGCCCGCGCGCAAGGCCGCCCCTCGCGTACCAATGGCCTTTCGCTACGTCCCGATCGCGTTTAAATAGAGGATCATCACAGATAATGATGTAGAAAGCACTCTCGGCGTGTCTGACTGTCCCATTAACACACAGGGTTTCGTTAATTGTTGTTTAAAAAAAAGTTATTCTTTTGAGTTTGAAAAAAATCGCAGTGTAGTGCACACACTACTCTTTTAGTTTCAAGTTCCGCGTTCCGAAAGGCGGTGGCGAAAACGAAACAAGCACTTGAATTTTTTAGGAGTACCTTAAAGTTAGGGATCGATGGTGAAAACGGGCATTAGTCTGTTTGAGTGTTTTTTGGACGATATAGCCTTACGGGTACGCGGAGAGATTTAATGTAGTACGTAAATAAAGAAGGGATTTTTATTTACACCAAATATTAGTTACTCTTTGGCGATTTCTACTAGAGTGACTGCTTCATTGACATTCACCACAAGTGCTCCGCTGCTCAGCCATTTCGTGAGACCGTACTGTGTCGTTATTACGCAGCTCACTTTGTCAATATGAAATATACTTTTTTATGTATGAATTTAGAAACAAAAATTGTAATTCTATTGACGACCCGAATGGCGTAGTGGGTAGTGTACCTGCCTCCTGCGCCTGAGGGTGTGGGTTCGATCCCCACTACTGGAAAAATATTGTGTGATGAACATGGTGTTTTTCTAGTGTCTGGGTGTTTCTATATGTATAATATGTATTTATTTACAAAAGAAAAGTATGTTTAAGTATGTTTATCAGTTTTCTAGTACCCATAGTACAAGCTTTGCTTAGTTTGGGACTAAAAAATGTTGAGTACAAATGTGTCCTAAATATTTATTTATTTATTTATTTATTTATTTATTTATTTATTTATTTGAATTTAATTATTTTATTAGGAGAAAAGGGACATTACAAAAGATTATTTGAAACGACATACATACATGCATAGTGGGACTAGAAAATGTTTGTGTAATGTGGCCTAATATATTTATTTATTTATTTATTTATTTTAATTTACTATATTTTTATTAGGAGAAAAGGGCACATTACAAAAAGATTTATTTGCATAATAAAGCATAATAAATTTAGAAAACTAGATATACATTCCGTTTTTACTCATTGTATTATTTACATTTTTTTCATGACGAAGTTCATTACACCATCGTACATCCCGTTCGCTTTTAACAGATCCAGAAAGGAGGGTTTCGCGGAGAAGCGATTTGATATAATAGGAAAAAGGTGGCGTCAATTTTTACGGCGCGAACGCGTTGAACGGGGGTTGCGGGCAATTTGTGTCATCGAGGCGCGGGAGAGTTCGGGCGCCGGTGACGTGGGACTAGCGGGGCCGAGGGATGAACTTTGTCGAATGAGATTGCGTCGAATCGTATGGGCGTCTGCGGAGTGTACGGTGTACGGAGAAAATATGTTTTGCAGATAAAGAATCCTCTTACGATTCAAGTGATTGCGTCTTTCAAGGCGCCCCCGAATCAGTATAAATCAGTTTACCCGTAACGGTATTTTTTTCTTGCAGATACGAAACTATTTAGAAAGAAAACTCAACGTTATATTTTTATTCTAAAATGTTTTGTTTTGTTAACATTTATTCTTAAATGTTTTTTTTGTGTTTATTTTCATTTATTACGACGAACATTGAGAGTTCGAAAACAATATATTATGTTCTTAACAAATATATTTATGTTATTTTAAATAAAAAAAGACCTATTTAAGGTCTTACTTTAGGATAACATTATCCTGTATTGTAAGGACGTTTTACAAACATAAGTTTCACTTGGACAAACACCCAGATGCGAAACAACTATATGAGGGCCACACAAATAGTTGTCTCGTGTGGGGATCGAACCCACGACCCCCGATGCCGAAGCCTTGGCAACTGCGCCACAGAGTCATCAGTTATGAGTAATGTCTTAAAAATTCGAAAGTTTACTTTGTTAACTTTTGAATTTGTTAACTTTACGTCCTAAAAAGTGTTTATAAGACGAACGGATTTTATTCCGTCCAGTCGATGTAATCTTAGATTTAAGGTTTCTATTTCAATTTCGTCTAGCAGCATAGCTGCTCAAAGCGTCCTCATGACGCGATAGGCATCGCCTCTTAATTTACTTTGACGATTTCGCCCGCGATAAGGGCGTGCGCTGCGACGATGTCAAGTATCCGCTGTGCTGCCTCGTGGGAAGGTTCTCTGCGAGGTCTATTGATGGTCATTATCGAGCTCGGCTCAGTCTCGTGGAACCGTTCGGCCGGACGCCTCCGTCTGGCGTTACAGCAAAATTAATGAGTCCGACACTCGAGATGCGCTTGTCTTTCGCCGCATTGTGCTGCACCGACGAGGTATGCGATGCGTCTATTTCGTCTACTCGCTTTTCGCGTAGATATTACATCGCACCCGTCACTTCATCGCGAAACATGTTTGTGTTCACTTTCGAGAAATGTCGCTGAATCCGCTACGTCGGAAGTATCGTTCACTTTGCTTCACTGCTAAATATCTTAAAGTTTCTCGAAAAGTGAGATTTCATTTTACTACATCGAGATTCATGGCTCATTTGTCCCTTATTTAAAAATAAAATAAACATTATTGAGCGATTCTTCTATTTTGTGAGATGTTTTACGTACGTGTCTGCTATTTCAAGTCGTCGAAACTCCTCGAGCTGTCATTTTCTAGGTCGGGCGTTATTTTAACAAAAAGCGAAATCAAAAATGCGGGAATTGCGTAGGTTTCCTCGGGTAAATGCACACGTTGAATCTCTATTAACATTTTGTCTGTTCAAAGTAGTTCTGCAGCAGTGTCTAATTTAATTTCACCTTTCCGAACACGCATTGTTGCACTTTCGCTATGAATTCTTTCTAATGCCCTTAGATTCCCTTTTGTAACTTTTACAATGTATTATAAGCAAACGTGCACATTTTTATTAATGTTTCATTTCGTTTTGTAACTTATGACTTTGTGTGTAACTACATCACTAGTTTGTTTGTGTAAGTCGTTTATATTTCCTGAATTTTAATTCAATCTATTTTATGTTTAAAATTGTAATTTTTCTTCCATGTATAATAACATCTAATAAACTTATATGTAGGTTTATAGTATGTGTACAGGGATATAGATTAATGGAGGTGTATAACAATAATTTTATACATATAGTAAAAACATACCTTCAGGTACGGTGCTTAGGTCGCTATATAATTAACTACTGTGTTAGTGTCATGCAACAGTATCGGCTAGTCTCCATATATAATACACTAATTACTCATTAGTCCGTGTATCTTGTCATTGTGTTATATTTATTTCATTTTCAATTGTTACGATAAATATTCCATTAAAATATAGAGGCATAAAATCTAGACTATGTATTCGCTAACAAATTATCAATTAGAGTTATCCGTACGCAACGCTGTTTAAAGGTTCATCGCGAAAATGTTAATTGCTCGTAATTAGCGAAATAACGTTTCGCTTTAGAATCAACATTGATAATCAACAGCGTTCAACATAGTGGATTTTGTTGCATAACATCCAATTAACTGCGGGATGAACTTCGCCGCCGCAAAAACGTTGAATATTTCGTAGCTTTTAAAGTTGTCCGTATTTTTGCGGAAGACTTATTCATTATAGAGATAAAGAATTTTTAATACTTTAATTAAATAACGTGGTTTAGTGAAAGAAAAATAAATACGGCCTGCTAGTGATCAGTATTTTTAGTATAACTTATGTCTTTTCTTTGATTGATGTTATGAGAATACATTTACAAGACGGACAACGAATAATGATTGTTTAAGAAAATGTATTGATTTCTGAGCACAGTTTTAGACACGGAGAGATACCGATAGTAAGTATACATATGGCATATGTCAACGTCGAAATTAAATTCCCGGTCGGACTCGGCGCCCGATGACGATGAAAATTTATTGTGAACATTTCAGGAACTAGTTAGTTTTGATTAGTTATCGGAACTAACTCACTCAGAGAACGTCTCTATTCCCCGCCGATAAATATCATTTAGTATACAAATGCAAAATACTGCAATAGACGTAGACATAGACTGGAAAATATGTTTAATCAGACCGATCCCGTAATGTTAAAATATTATTTGGGTGTTGCACCAATACTGAGCAATTTTAACTAACTTCGAACTTTCGAAATTAAATTATTGTTAACTCAATATTGGCTTTTATCTAAATTGGTACATAGAATAATACGTAAATGTATCCGTAAATGGCACGACACTCTAAAGGTTTATTAAAATTTGTATATGTCTATAGATTTTCATCCATAATTACGGTTGTGTTGTCTTCGTCTTCCTCTTTCCCTTTTGTGTTTTGTTAATACCGTAGCTATAAATTACGCCAATAGCGAACTGAATGTCACTCGGGCCTTTGTTTTTGCTCTTTAGATGATCGCTGTCGTTGACAGCGCAATAATTAATATTAATATTAACTCTTTTATCGCCACTGCCGAGTTTGATCGCATCAAATTTGCAATAAATTTGGATTAAAGAGAAACTTCTTTATTCAGGCTGTTCCGGTTGGTTTTGAAAATATAATGTGGACTAGACATACTGCCTGGAATTCCCGTGGCACGTGGATGTGTCCGAATTTTTTAAAGCGAAATGATTTTAGACATTGTTATTGTGTTCGGATAAAATTCGACGCGTTGCGATCTTCGGGCGCCATCCCTATTGACTCGGCTCACAGAAGGCCAGCCGGTGATGACTCATCCTGCAACAGAAAAGAGTACTATTCCATACCGTGAAATTAAAAACTAAAGTACTTAGGAAGGGACGGAAGGGGACGACCTACCTACCGGTCTAGGTTGAAGAATAGATATGGGCACCCTGACTACTTAGGATTGAATAAAGGGGGGGGGGGGGGGAGGTGCACCTTAAACTTATTTTAAACGCATTTATTTTAAATTAAAAAAAAACCCACAATTTAATTTTTGAATTGCCGACTCTTAGTGGTGTCAAAACGATACAGACATTTTGTTTATGTCCAGCGGTCCGTTTGTCAGCAACAGAACCGGCGATCGCTAATTTCCTCGCGTTCCGTCTGATTTATTTGTCCCCCGGTGGGGATTATCTAGGGCTGGCGAAATCAGTCCTCTCCCACTTTTTTAGTTACTCGAAGAAATGCTGAGTGAATAAATAGAGATCTTTAAAAACCTTTAGGGAAGAAGTAAAACTTAATATGATAGTAATTTCGCGTAAAGCAATAAAATCATTATAAATTTTACTTCCCGTATATTTTTTCAAAACATTTTACGCAAAAGACAATTCCAGGTACCGCGAAGAGGAAACCCAAAAATGTCTAACTAAAAGTATAAAGGCTAAGATTTAAAACTGCTACAAGCCTAAAATAAATGTTGCCAGTTGTCTTTTGCGATAACTTCTTCGTCATTTGCATCAATTTCCGCCATGTGCCAGCCCTGGTCCTCGCACGAGAACCGGATATTTTGCATGCGGCTAATC